TATAATTTCTTGAATATAGATATAAGAAGATGTGGTATGAGTGCCAATGAGACAACTCTCCATCCAAGTCAAAATTTGCATGGTATATTTGCCCACACATTGGAAGTGTACAAGTGTATGAAATTAAATTAAGGATTTTGGACTTGGAAACATTAGTTTTTGAGCAAAATGTTAACTTGTGGAAAGGATACATATGTGTTGTGTTTATCACGCCTCCCACAGTTATGTTGTCAGTCAGGCTAGATATTGATAAAATGAATATTATACAAAAATGCATAAGTCGAAAAAAGACATACAACGCCATGGCTAAAAAAAGATAAAAATAAAATAAAACACCTCTGTGAACATACCCCCCCCCCCCCGCTTTGTTTTATGTCACTTTTGATACCTGCTGCAGAGTTAAACACACTATTTCTCGATAGAAAATATCCAGTTTGTAGCTAAGCTACTACTCCTACAATTTTAACTCTAACGCAGACAGATTTAAATAATGTAATTCACGATGTGAACTTCAAATATAGAAAAGTTCAATTTTTATCCATTCTTCCGTGCCAATGCAGGTACGTGGGTTTCCAAAAGGGTTATTCATTTTATATACTGTGGAAAACTACTGAAAAGGTAACGTCAAAACTTTTCTTTTGATTATATTTTAAATGCATTATTGACCAAGGAATATTCTGTGCAATGGAATCAACCATGTTTTTGGTCTGTTTACACATAGTGTATATAACGAAGTCTACACAAGTTCATGTAATGTAGACCCAAACAGTACATGTGCAATTGTTTTTGTCAGTTTTATTTCAAATGAACAAAATCATAACTTTGTGTAGGTCTACGTCCCTTTCATTTATGTAAAAAAAACTAAAGCGTAGGCTAACAACACTTATAAAAGATATATTTGTTCTGCCCTCAGCTTCCGACCACATTCAGGGAGCGTCAATGTTATTGCTGTATGTTGTGGTAAGTGTCCTATTTTCGGATATTGGTGCATTTTGATGTAAGTGTCCTTGTTCTGTTATCGGAAAGATACTAGTGTACATGAAGACCACATCCAGGAAGTTGTATTTCCGAAAGTGTCCTGTTATTGGACAGAAGCTAGTGTGTCTGTAGACCACATCGAGTGAACGACTGCTTTACTGTTGTGTTTTAGTAAGTGTCCTGTAATTGCGTGATAATAGACCACATCCTGGGAGATTTCATGTAATTTATTGTATTTTATGGTTCTATTATCGAACAGATGCTAGTGAGCATGCAGACAACTTCCAGGTAGCTTCCGTATTATTTGTTGTATTTTGTGGATATTGTTCTTTTATCGAACAGTGTGCCTAAATAGTGTTGCAGATCTAAATGTATTGTCCGTGTAATTTGTTTTAATTTGTGCTGTGTTAATAACCAGAAGTTAGTTTGAGTATTGTAGTAATGTGTCATATGTCCGATAGGCTAAGTGTGTCTAGTGTTGTAGTTAACCAGTTATCGGTAAGCTAGTATGTCTGGTGTTGTAAGAAACCTGATTTCGGACAGATCTAGGTGTGTCAAATGCTGTGGGTCACCAGTTATCGGACAACAGCTAGTGTGTTTAGTGATATAGGTAGCCTGTATTCAAACAGAAGCTATGCGTATCTTGTGTTTAGGTTACCAGCTATCGAACATAGGTTAAGTGTGTCTAGTGTTGCAGTAAATTTATCTGTTATCGGAATAAAGCTAGTGTGCCTAGTGTCGTAGGTAACTTGATTTCGGATAGTATAAATATTTCAGGTAACCTGTTATTGAACAGAATCTAGTTGTGTCAAGTGCTGTAGGTAACCTGTTGTCGAACAGAAGCTAGATGTGCCAAGTGTTGTAGGTAGCCTGTTATCGGACAGAAGCTAATGTGCCTAGATCTTTTAACACATTATTTTGAAAGGTTTAAATAGTATTATTTTTTATCAATATTAAGGGCCAAATAATGGGGCTTGTCATACTTCCTCCTTAGTCCGAAGTTGTAAAAATCAAGAATTTCCAAAAGCAGGGACAAGTAACGGACTGAATTTAAAAAAAAAACATAAACAATTATTTCCTTATGAGGATTGTTTTTTAGGGTGGACAATGTCCATTTTCATCTAAATATAAAAAAGAGTCACACGCTGAAATGTCTCTCCTACTTTACTCATCGTGATAAATATGTATGTAAGCCTTTAAGATGAAGGTTTTGCTACAAGTAAACTTAGCATCATAGATAATCCATGTAAATGTCATCAAGTATGGACCATGTTAGCAATCATGTACCTAACAATCCTAACATACACCAAATATACTTATCCTGTTACTTGAAGTATCTGAGAAAAAGGCCTAACCACAAAATCGTAATGTTAATCAATGTTCCATGAAAATTAGGTCGAGATCAGATAAAAACTGTCAGACAAACATATAAACCATAGAATTATTCCATACACCAAATACAGTTCACCTTTTGCTTATTGTATACGATACAAAACCTTAACATGACAAATGAACGACGAGAAAAGATCAAGGTAAGATAAAACCTGTCAGACAGACATGTACAATAATTCAAAACACAAAACATAGTTGACATATAACTACAGAATCTGCATGAGAAAAAGACATTACACAAAAACATTTACATTGAGACCTTTCAGACAAACATAATAATATACCTTAGAAATATCCCATACACCAAATATAGTTCAGCTTTTGCATATATATACAAGAAACAGATTATAAATTACGAAAACTTAACTTTGACCAATGAACCATGAAAATTAGACCAAGGTCACATTTAACCTATCAGACATACATGTACACCGTACAATCATTCCATACACAAATTATAGTTGCCTATTGTTTATAGTATATGAGAAAACCACAATAACTTTACAACGAACAATGAACTACGAAAATAAGGTCAATTTCAGATGAAATCTGCTAGACAGACATGTACACCTTACAATCATTCCATACACCACGTAAAGTTGACTCGCTACCGTATTTGCGATACATACTTGACCACGAAAACTTAATCCACGAAACGAGGTCAAGGTCAAGTGAACCCTGCCTGACACACATGCAGACCAAATATACTTATCCTATTACTCGTGATAAGTGAGAAATTCACATAATAAAAAAAACCTTAAAGCAGTCACTGCACCATGCAAATAAGGTCAGGACAATGGACATATGATAGATGGAATCTTTTTAACATAAGGAAGCTGTACACAAGGTATTAAGCAATCATGCATTTTCTACCCTTTAAAAACACATAGTTTCCGCCGTCCCGAATTAGCTACCCTATGTCTCGAATTCTGCGACGAAAGTCGAACAAGTGGCGACAAAAACGGAGATTCTATATTCATGTAAATTGTGAAAAATGTTGATATTCTAACAAATCCTAACGTCCAACTTCGATTTTTATAAAGCTGGCTGTTTATTTTACATCTATACAGGGACTTTCTATACTTATAGATTATCGTTGGTTATCTCAACGAGATTGATTTTCTCGCTTGAGCCGGCACGGCGAAAGCGAGAAAAGCAATCGAGTTGAGATGACCAATGATAATCTGTTTATCGCTATTTTACCTATGAAGACGTTGTTAATTTCCTTGACAACGGCACGTGTTCCCTTAGTTTCTAGCGATAATTTTCATATCACTCGACTTCGTTTTCATACCACTCGACTCCGCTGAGAACGGAAATTATCAGTCAGCAAGACCAAAGGAAAAATTCGTAAAATAGCGATAATAACTAGTATAGACTGTCCCTGATCTATACCAAGAAGAAAAACCCGAAAAAAATATCGAGAACAAAATTGAGTGATGCTATGCAGCAAAGATCAGCCCTTTCTAATCTTAATCACAAAGGCAGCAAACGGACTTTAACATCAAATGGGTATAAAGTCAGGAATCTGATGTTTAGTAGTTTTCGTTTGTTGATGTGGTTCATAAGTGTTTCTCGTTTCTCGTTTTTTATATAGATTAGACCGTTGGTTTTCCAGTTTGAATGGTTTTACACTAGTAATTTTGGGGGCCCTTTATACGTAGCTTGCTGTTCGGTGTGAGCCAAGGCTCCGTGTTGAAGACCGTACTTTGACCTATAATGGTTTACTTTTATAAATTTTGACTTGGATGGACTCGGAGTTGTCTCATTGGCACTCATGCCACATCTTCTTATATCTATAAAACGAGAAAACCGAATAAAACAAATTTTTCAATCTGCTAACGAGTCCCTGTGCGGCGGACAAAGTCTGCCTTGAAAAGATGAAAAATATCTTATCGGACTTTTAACCAGTTACCCTCTCCTTGAATTTGGTCACAGCGTGAACAGAAATATTTATTATATTTATAGATATATATATATTAAGGATTTGTATAGTAAGATGTATACTAAACAAATCCTTGGTCATATTCACACAGAGATAGTATTTTTTTTTCTTTTGGAAGTTTCCATGACAAATGGTATACAGGTCATGACATCGAAGAGTTGTTATCTAAAAATTGTTAGATTTCGGGAAATTATATTTTTTTGAATAACAAGAGTCACTAGGATTTTTGTGTATAGCTGTATTTTCAGATTCCTAGACATCCGTCCGTGTAATTTAACGGATTAATTTTAACATGTACTATTGTGGTATTGAAATTATCCTTTAATCAATGCGGTGACTGAAGTAAACAAACTATGGACCTTTTCGCCTTAATTAGTGGCGTTTAAATCTACTTCTCTATTGCCCTCAATCGTTTACCAATTGTCCCTCAGAATAACCTAGATAACGGTCATGTGTAAATAATTTCCATTGGATAGAACGTATACACAGATTCTTGTGATTGCATTTCCGAATTTTAATTTAAATCGAAAAAAATACATACTGGATCATACTGAAAAGTACAGTCGTTACCATGAGGTTGTAAGGTAACAGATAAGAACAAAGCAACTAGTTACGAAACGTGCAACTTGTCACCTGTACTCACGTGTGTTGATTTTGGAGGCGTGACCATATTGCTTTTACATCATGTACATTGGTCAATCCACGGAGGTGTGTCGGGAAAATCCATACGTGAACATGGATATATATAATAAGAATAACAGTGAATGCATTATATCGAGGAAACGTCAGCCAGGTAAGTTCATCTGGACTGATGTAGAATCAATATTTAATATTAGGGTTACACTGGTTTTCAGGGAACAATGAATACTAATTTATCTCTTTTGCAATGGTTTTACCATTTGAATATGTAAATTTAATATTGATTTACTGAATTTAGGGAAATAATGACAAAGATTTTTTAGTAAAAAATGTACAACCCTCCCCCCATTTTGTAAGGTCAACACATGCGATATTCAAGTAATGAGTAGGATTGTATTTTGGCATTTTGGCAAACACAACTGTTTCGATATATGAAGGCTTTTTATTGAAGATTATATAAATGTTCTATAATAATATCATTTAAAACCATATGTTCCAAAAAGTGATGGAGCTAGTATAAAACTTTAATGTCAATAGCCCCCAAAAAGGGGGGTCTAATTAATAAGTACATATAACTTACATGCATAACAAGTTTAAACATATTGTAAGTATGTGTTTAGCATATTTCTTATTTTTTTTCATTTTATTAAGGACTTCAAGTCCTTCATATAAAAAAATGCACACAGAGGCAACAATATTAAGGTATGCATGTGACAGCCACATCATAACACTACCAGTGTTGTCACGGAATAGAAGTTCCTTCATAATATAAGTTTCAAATGGAAACAATATTCTGGAATATTATTTCCACTGGAATAAATATTACAGTAAATGTTCCTAACGGAATAAATGGTATAGGATATTTGTTCCAACAGGAACATTGTTGGAACAAATATTATGACATTGTTTATAACAAAGTTTCCAGTGGAACTTCTGTTAGGCAGAACAAATATACGTTGACAGTGTCTCCATCAGTGTGTCTGAGATGTTAGGCACCATGGATTTTCGAACTCCAAGAAGCCAGTTAAGAACTAGACTTAATAATGTTTCACAAAATAGTGAATGAAAATATTGCCATTCCATCACATAATTTATTACATCAGAATCAGTCTATGACAAGATCTTCCCATAAAGACCTCTAGATGTGTTTAGTGTTTAGTGTTTTGTGTTGTCTTTCTCATTGATTACATCTCCTTTTATTAAGGATGTTCGCTACTCTGTTTCAAACTAACAAGCTTTTTGAAAGATTGTTATAAATCAATAGTTTATAAATAAAGGAACTGAAAAAGCAGAAAAAAATGAAGGGTACGTGTGCTTGTTTTCAAGATAAAAGCCATTGTAAATTTGGCGGGAATTGATTCTCTCTAGATTTTTCATACATTTAACATTGGCACCTTTTTTCTTTCAAAAACTATGAAAAAATAACAAGGTTTTTATAAGATTTTCAAATATGGCTTTAAAAACTATATGTAATAATATTATGAAAAGAAAAGTAGGGGTTAGCGGGCAAATTTTTTTATTGGCAATAGATGGATAATACCAGAGGATTCAGAATATCTGGCAAAATTTCAAAAACAAGAGTAGCAAACATCCTTAATAGATATAATTAGGTATATGTTTTAACAAATTCTAATAGTAGTATCCTAGCTGTTCAAATTGATGGAGGTGGTTTATTTATTTACATTTGTGGAAACATTTTGTTAACAGGTGCTGCGTCTTGTTTCATTTACATCGCCATAAAGGGAGATTACAATGAAAACTTCAGTACTGACAGGAAAACAGATTTTTCAGTCTTTAAAACCACCAGATTTATCTTGTTGTACCAAGCAGTAAGTAGATTAAAAGATTTAAAGAAACAACAGTAAACCTGAATGTCTTTTTTTGGCAATTTGTCAGAAGTTAGTACACACATTACAAAGTTGATCACTAGTGAGAAGTGGCATACAGAACTTTTCACTAACAATTCATCTTATAATTATATACCATATGGTATATGCAGAATTGGATAGCATTAGAAACTCAGAATAATGTTAATATCAACCACAACAGAACAATCTGTTCTGACTTTTAGATTATGCATGGTCAAGAACTGATGTTTTTTTTATAGTTCTCCACAAAAATACACAACATGATCAGGCATGGTTGCATTTGTCAAATTCTGAAATTTGCAACATTGGTTTTATAAGATGGCAAATCAAATGTACATTTAAACAATGAAGAGATGAGAACAAGCAAACCACACATGATTTATCAAACCACAAACAATAAAAGTTGAAATAAGAATATAAAAAGTATGCAAATTGACAAACAATATTGCTTGAAAACAACACACTACTGAAATGAAGTAGTTCTTGTCGAGAAGCAATTTGTCCAACTTATATATGTTAATAAATTTGCTTTGAAACCTATTTCTTCATTTTAACATCACTATTCTGTGAAATATTATAATGATAGTGATAGTAAAAATCATCATTCAATTGGATACCATCAAAACAAGGTAAACAAGAGAGAGAAATCACTTCTATTGATTATGTAATTCTCAACAATGTTAACTTTCAATAAAAGAACTAAATGCAGACTTTGTAAGATTCTTTCAAAATCCAAATAATGCAGCACATTTTCAAACATGAATATAAAGATAAGAAGATGTGGTAAAATTGCCAATGAGACAACTCTCCACCAGAGATCAAATGACATAGAAGTTAACAACCATAGGTCTGCAGCAATGAGCAAAACCAATACCGCATAGTCAGCTGTAAAAAGGCCCTGAAATGACTATTGTAAAACAATTCCAACGAGAAAACTAAAGAAGTACTTTTGTGCTATGTCATTGCTTAAACTTACAACATTGTATTCAGACATGGTTTACTTTCTTATTGTTTGAATACCATGAAACCCAATATCAGAGATCTTTGACCTTATTTAGAACTTTGTTTGCAAGCATTTTAATGGAAACCATATTTCAGACAGTTGCAAGACTATTTTGAGAACAGTTATGAGCTGAACGAGAGTCTGTTTTTATCTCTGAAAGGTAATTGTATCCATAGCATGTCTATTTTATCTCTGAAAGGTATTTGTATCCAAACTTTGTCTGTTTTTATCTCTGAAAGGCATTTGTATCCAAACTTTGTCTGTTTTTATCTCTGAAAGGTATTTGTATCCAATCTTTGCCTGTTTTATCTCTGAAAGGTTATTGTATGTAGTAAATTAGATAATGTCTTTATTAAATTGGTTGATATGAAAAGGTGTGATTTCCCAGTAAAAGAAAAGCTGATAATTTTAGTATGTAAAAGAAACTTTTCTTGATGGGAGTTAAACCTTGTTTTGGTAAGGTGACCGTAACCTGGCATGAAGTCTGTGCTAGAGCTTCAATCGCACTAGATTATAAAAAAAGCAAGAACATGGAGTTAAAATCAATATCCACTACCCTTTAAGATGCATATAACATTTTATTTAAAATTTCTCTTTTTTATGGGGGGGGGGGGGGGGGGGGGAAGGTATCAGCAGCAACAAGACTTTTTGATATAAATGTATTATTATTATTAAGAAATATGACTTTTTATGCATCATTGAAGTATACAAATCACTCACTCACTGGTTACACATTTGTTGTGAAAACATTTTACACTTTGTTTCTGTTAATACTTTGTTCAGAAAAGGAACAATGGGAGATAACTCAAAATTCCAAAGAGTCACTTTGACATCAGTGGTTCAAACATCTAAAGATGACTTTTATTGTAAGCATAACTAAACATACAATAGAGTTCTCCACATAGTACTGTCCTCAAGGCATTATTTGATATGTTAAGACTTCTTTTATTAGTAAATCGTTGTCCAGGGCACTATCTCATTATGAAAGTTTAGTCCTGTACTTAGAATTTTATCCATTTGTACTGGATAGAGGATCAATATTTAGTTATTTGGACCTTGAAGTCTTATCATACCTAACTACCACATGTCACAAGTTAAATTTCTGGTACATTTTAATGTGGAATAGACCACATGAACTGATACCAACTGTCACTGTATCATATTGTATGTTGATAATATTTCTTCTGTTGAATTGGCATATGAGAAGTTTATCTGTTTTTTTTTGTAAACATTTTTAAATATAAAATTGCTTTTCAGTATAATTTGCATGATCTTTTTTCTGAATATCCTTCATTGATCTTCATATTGTAACATAAAGGCAACAGTAGTATACTGCTGTTCAAAAGTCATAAATCGATTAAAAGAAAACAAATCCGGGTTACAAACTTAAACTGAGGGAAACACATCAACTATAAGAGGAAAACAACGGAACAACAGAAACACTAAACTGCAACAAAAACAAACTCCAACACACATAGTCAGTTTATATCTTCTAAGTGCAGTATAAGAAGTCCATTACTAGTCCTATGAAAGCAATAATTTTAAATTACATGTAGTAATAACTGTATGTTAATGGAAATTTAATGAGGGTCTAGCTGGGGTTTACAGAATAATTGACAAAAATAGAAAATAAAGCAAACAAATAAAGAAACAGTAAAGAATAGACCAAAAAAATAAAGAATAGAGAATAATGAGGTTCTAAAAAATAAAGAATAGAGAATAATGAGGTTCTAAAATATAAAGAATAGCGAATAATAGAGTGCTAAAATATAGAGTTTGAAATCTGCAAATTTTTTATTTGTCACTAGAGGTAGAATAGATTAGACTATTAATTACAATTCAATATGTATTTCAGAGGACGACATTTTCTACAAATGTCCCGATCGCCTACGACTACCATTGATTTTCTACTTCTGTCATACATCAGTTGTATACATCAACAAGCTGGTTCTAAGTGGACTATTGAAGGTATATATCTTCCATACTTATGACTAGAGTTGTATTATCACATTGTAAAATAGAAGAATAATTAAAAGCATCAATGAAAATATTAAGTCAAATGTTCTTTTACCTTTAAAGGTTGTCCAGTGAAGTTTTTAATCAGTTATTAGTCTTATAATTTAAATACTCCATACCTAACAAACTTATAAAAGTCTTGATTGTTACTTTTTTTTTCATATACAATACCTGATATATTCTAACTGCAAACGATAAGCGATTTAGGTTCTCTACACAAATTCACTTTAAAGAATTTAACAGTAGCAGATTTATAATTTTAAAAAAGGTCACTCACGAAAAAAACAACTTACTACATCTATGAGAATGTGACAGTGTTTTAGACTGGTGTTGATGTGTTTTTGTCTTTTCAGGAAAGAGTTAACTTAGAATTTGAAACAATGTTTGAGACGGGTGTAGATGTGTTTATGTCTTTTCAGGAAAGAGTTAACTTAGAATTTGAAACAATGTTTGAGACCGGTGTAGATGTGTTTTTGTCTTTTCAGGAGAGAGTTAACTTAATGTTTAAAACAATGTTTGAGACTGTTGAAGATGTATTTTTGTCTTTTCAGGAGAGAGTTAACTTAATATTTAAAACAATGTTTGAGAATGGTGAAGATGTATTTTTGTCTTTTCAGGAGAGAGTTAACTTAGAATTTGAAACAATGTTTGAGACTGGTGAAGATGTATTTTTTTCTTTTCAGGAGAGAGTTAACTTAATATTTAAAACAATATTTGAGACTGGTGTAGAAGTTTTTTTGTCTTTTCAGGAGAGAGTTAACTTAGAATTTGAAACAATGTTTGAGACTGGTGTAGATGAGATGTCATGGGACGACACTGTAAGTCCTATTTAGTCTAATCTTCCATGTTTTAACTGCTTAATGTTGAATTTATAAACATTTTATTGTCACCGGATGCCGAGGGTTGGAGGGAGGGGATGGTGATTTTTTTTCAATATGGTAGGTTTTACATCTTCACAAAAAACTGGTCTTTGGAGAAAACCTTTCAAAAATTTGCTAAATAGTTTTAGTAAACTTATCTAGAACATAGGTTATTTAGACCTTGCCATCATTTTAAAACTGTATTGTGATGTCCTGGTGTAGTCATCTTTTTTTTGGCTCTCATATTTTGTAAGGTTATCATTTTAATAGAGTTTTACCATTTCATCTTATTTGAATTTTGACTGTTTCAATGGGCTTTGACAATACATGGCTAAAACTTAATATGTTATGTAAAAAATTTGTTTGCTTTCTTTTAACAGGAGAATTATCGTATGGGTGGGAGTTATAAATGGCCATCAGTTAAAGAAGTAATGGACTATCGTAGAACTGTAAGGAATATCATCATTAAAATGATACAAGACACACCACTTGTGCTGCCGATAACAAAGGAGAGTCCTTGGGTAGGTTAATATTAGGCTAAATAAAGGGAGACAACTATTGAACAAACCATTACAAAAACTGTAAGGAATATACCGTATAGCGGGTTATTTTCACGGGTGTAAAATTTCACGATTTTCATAGAATAAGGTATACAAAATATTTTGGCGGATTCAAAACTTTTATACAATACCATTGCATGTGGACTTTAAAATTTGCGGAACTTATTTTGGCGATTTTGTTCTATCTGTGAAAATAAGCGAAAATTTACATCCCGCAAAAAAATAACCCCCTATACGGTAATCATTAAAATGATACAAGAGTTTTTGAGACACCACTTTAAGGAGAGTCCTTGGGTAGGTTAATATTAGGCTAAATAAAGGGAGACAACTATTGAACAAACCATTACATCAACTGTAAGGAATATAATCATTAAAATGATACAAGAGTTTTTGAGACACACCACTTGAAGGAGAGTCCTTGGGTAGGTTAATATTAGGCTAAATAAAGGGAGACAACTATTGAACAAATCATTACATCAACTGTAAGGAATATAATCATTAAAATGATACAAGAGTTTTTGAGACACACCACTTGAAGGAGAGTCCTTGGGTAGGTTAATATTTGGCTAAATAAAGGGAGACAACTATTGAACAAATCATTACATCAACTGTAAGGAATATAATCATTAAAATGATACAAGAGTTTTTGAGACACACCACTTGAAGGAGAGTCCTTGGGTAGGTTAATATTAGGCTAAATAAACGGAGATAACTATTGAACAAACCATTACATCAACTGTAAGGAATATAATCATTAAAATGATACAAGACACTTGTGCTGTCTATTACACAGGAGAGTCTTTGGGTAAGTTAATATCTGGCTAAATAAAGGGAGGCAACTAGTGAACATCCAATACAACAACAAACAATGTTTTGTTCTAAATAAAATCACTGCAGAAGAAAAAATAAAGGGAGGTAATTTTAAGAAGAAACAGTATGTTTAAATTAAAAGTTTATGGGTAAGTTTTATTTTAAGTTTGATTATATATTTCAGTGGGGACTTTTGATGGGGATGGAACATGAGAGGATACATTTAGAAACATCTTCTGTTCTGATCCGTCAACTGCCCGTTGATATGGTAACTAAACCAGATGGATGGGTATATGGACCAATGAAATATAGTAATTATTAGAATTTATTATAAATCTGTAATACATTATACCTGCAGAAAATCCAATGTTATTGAGAAATTGATTAATTTATTCTTGTGAGAATATCATGAAGAGTTTGAACAACATTTTTTAAGGCCTATTTCAGTTACTTATGTTTATCACTGAATCTGCACTTCTATTTTCTTACAGGTTTCCATACTTTAACATTTTATGTTTCCTCCAAAACAATTTAATTTTGTATAGTTATTTTAAGAAGACATTCTTTAGTAAAAGAATATAGAAAAATACAGCCATGTGAAGATATAAAAAAGATGTTTTTTAAATGAATAAGCATTTTAATATTGAGTTTTTGTTTTATTTAATTTTATTAAATTTATAGGTTTATATATCCTCAAGATACAACAAGAATATCTGTTTTCTTTAATAGTATTAGTAAAACCCAAAACTTTTTTTTTAAACTTTTTGTTATATTTAAGTTAAACTTGTGGAATAAAAAGGGCATCAGCTTCTTCTGATTTATATCATTTTAAATGTCAACCATGATAACAAACCAAAATCTGGGCCATTCTTATTTTCTTTAATTGAGTTTCAACCCCTGTTTGCATTTACAATAGAAATGGAAGAAAATTGTTAATTTTCTGTGATTGTTATTTTTCAGGTGAACCAGTGATGACCAATCCAATGATCAGAGTTGAGGAAAGGGAGGTAACTTATGGAAAACCAGATGATTTTCCCTCTTATGGATGGGATAATGAATATGGAGAAGAAACTTCAAGGTTTGTAACAGTGTATATAGCCATCTGTATAAGATAATTGTATCTTCTAAAATGCTTTTCAGGTGGTTGAATTCAATGAATTATATGTTTTATTTATCCTTGTATCTGTATTAAAGCATTTACAATTTTCATATTTTGGACATTAAAATTATTTTTGAAAACCCATACTATTTTTATTCTAACATAGCACACATTTACATTTTTCTGCATATTCATCAATAATTTTATTTGAAATATTCAGAAAAAACTATGGTAAATATAAAAATTAACTATTAGGTAAAAACTGACACCTATTCAGTTGTAATACACACTTTTAATTTATATATAGAGTTCCTGCATTTGAAGCATCCAAATATTTAGTAACTAACAGGGAATATTTAGAATTCGTACAAGATGGAGGCTACAGTAAGAAAAATCTTTGGACAGAAGAAGGATGGGGCTGGAAATTATATAGACATGCTCAGCATCCAGCATTCTGGGTGTGTGACAATGGTATGTAAAGTTTTCAGAAAGGCTCTGTTTCCAGCTTATTTGTTGTGTGTCAATGTTGGTAAAGTTTTTTTTACCAGATATGTCATTGTTGATCAATTTTTCTCTAATATTTTTCTAACTCACAACCCTCAATGCATCTTGAATTTTTGTACATACATTGAAGTGCACCTCAATTAGTGTAAATGTTTGAAGAACTTTTGGTCTACTTTAGCTCATTTAAAATCTAGAGAGACTAGTTTTCCTCAGTTTTGCAATTTTTAGAAATAATAAATATTACATTTCCCTAAAGCATTTACTGGTGTAATATGATTTACATGGACATGTCAAATTTATAACCATTACTGTTGCGAGATTAACCACCCTGTTATTTGACCATATTTAAATGATATGCTGATACACTCATTATTATTTAAATTCAAATTCTGTTGAAATTTTGTTTTCTAATTTTATGTTTAGGTTGTAAAGGGGGTTGTGGAGCTGCTCTGTCTTCATATTCACATTGTCACTTCAATACTGAACAGACCATCACTAATGGAGTTACCAATGGACAAAGCAATGGATTGACCAATGGACAAAACAATGGAGTGACCAACGGAAAAAGCAATGGAGTAACCAATGGACAAGACAAGGGACAAAGCAATGGACAAAGCAATGGACAAAGCAATGGACAAAGCAATGGAGTGACCAATGGACACACCAATGGTTTTAATTGTGGAGGAACAGTGTACAAGTATGTAAATGAAAGAACACATCTCAAAATAAAAATGGGTCAAAGACTCAATGACATTGGTTACAATACTTTAATTTCTCTAAATTAACAAAATGAATGAAAATACTGTTGACTAAGACATATAAGGTCAACAGATAAAATGCTATAAAAATTGGTACCCCTTTGAGAATTGCTGAAAATTTACTGATTTTGTCTATCTGAAAATATCTTCCACTGAGTACAGTCCAGTGCACATCTTCAATGTAAGTACAAAAATTCTAGATTCTTTGATGGCCATGATTTGAAAACTGACAGAGAAGTTGATTACACTATTCTTTATTACATAAGCAATTCTTATCACTAGCAATAATCTTTGACCTTGTTCTAATCATACAGCAAGATCCGTCCATAAGGGAAGTTTTAGCTTAAATGTAGGTGGGAATGGGCAACCCCATTTGATAATTACATGTAAATGTTTGTTACATAAAGTTAACAATAATTTATTTCTTAAATTGACACAAGGGGGCTTCTAAATATGATATGAAGGATTAACTAACAATTAACAGGTCCATTTGATGCCTTATACTGCAGTGAAAATGGAATATTGAACAAATATATCATGTTCAGGAGGGTTATTCAGGAAATTTCAAGTCAAGAGAAGGTTAAGTTTCTGAGCTGCTAGACAAAGGAACTTTTCTTATTGAGACTGAATTATTTCTCAAATACCTACTGTAAATTTAGAAATTATTGCAAGGTTTTTTAAATGCTAATAATGCAACTGGGTGAGTATCGAAATAATAAGGACTCACATTCTTATATCTGATACATAGATATGTATGAAGATTTTCCAAAAATCGCAATAATTAATCTCACATTTTTGTCCATTTTACAAAAATCGCAATAATAAATGCACGCAAAAATTTCTGAATTTACAGTATCCCAAACTTCTAAAACAGAGATAGTTTGAGTTGAAAATTTATTATTTATTCCATTTATCTTTGGCTATCAAGATTTAAGCAAATATAGCTGCATTTATAAAGCACAAAAATGATCAAATATCTCCATGGAGGGTAAAAAAGGTATATACTTTTTGGCAAATACCACAGCAGGGAGGGTAATTAGTTAAACATATTGGGCAGTAGTGAATTATGAGCAAAATTCATCTGATGAAAGAAAATACATGAAAAATATACTAGCTATCAACCAATGAAAATTCAGCATACTTGTATAAGGTTTGATAAAAAGAAGAAAGAAATATCTCATTTAATGTTATGAATTTAGGGTTAATTTGTTTAAATGCCAATTCAAATCAGTTTGACATTGCAAAGTCATGAAGCAACAATTTCAGGCTATTCTGTATACCCCTTCTAATTTTATCCCTGTAGATACAGAGCCATGTTTGATGTATTGGACATGCCATTAGACTGGCCAGTGGAAGTCAACTATCATGAAGCTCATGCATTCTGTTCATGGAAGGGCAGTGGTAATCGACTATTAACTGAAGCTGAGATGAACCTTATAAGAGATGACAAATTTCCACCAAGTGAAGGCACAAAAAGTGATGTTATCTACCAAGACAATATAGATTTAAACATCAACTTAAAATTTGGATCGTCCACTGTGAGTTTAGTTGACTTATTGTTATCTTTATGATGTGTGAAAAAATTGATTTTATAATAAAAAAAAAACAAGAAAAGAAAATATGCCCTCTTTTTAAAAATCAAAAGGAAATTTATTGGATAAGGAAGTTGTTACTTTTGAAAAGTTGAAATAAACTGTTTGATAAGATGTAGCTGAGAAACATCCTTGAGTTGGAAGGACCATTGATAATCTGTTTATCGCTGTTTTTCTAGGCAACATCAATGACATCATACATTATCTTTCTCTTGACTGAGAACAAATAAGCTGTTGCTAATACGCCTTAGATACCTCCAATAATTTTCTTTCTCTTATGGTTGTGGCCTGTTATCTATTTCTTGCATGAAGAGATATATCTCTTATCACACTGCATGGAGTGTGATACGAATAAGTGATACGAAAACTGCGTTAATTTGATTGGCTTATCCAGCATCATCACACAATATTACGACATTTCCATTGGCTATTCGTTAGGTCATTGATAACTTTCAAAGGTTAAGACGATGTACATTTCGTCCATGGCAAAGGACATATCTTATTTCTTAAATAACATACAAAATACTCACACTTTTCACCAGGAAATCTTCTATTTGTAAAATTTTATTACATTCTGAAGCGTACAGAAAGCTTTAACATGTCTGATGTTAAAGTTTGACGCCGGAAAAGGACATATGACGTCATACTGGTATGTGCAAAAGACTAGATCAATGATTCACGGAATTTTTAATTTAACACAAGAGTGTTAACCATAAGAGAAATAGGTTTAACTGCTCTTGAGAATTGGATATCGCTTGATATCAACTCTCGTCATTTAATTTAAATAGTAATATTGATATTTATATTGAAATTAAATAACTCAAGTTGATATCAAGCGATATCCAATTCTCACTCATTATGAAACCTATAAATCTCAAGTAAGTAGCATGATATGAAAAATTATCACAAAAAAGATCAATGGAAAAATACACAAAAAAGCGATAAATTGTTTTTACTGAAGATTTAACCAGACTGTTTTCTCATGTTTTTCCTTTCATCAGATTGTATTGTTATCTGATGATCTTGTATTATTTGTATAATTCTATTTGTATAAGACCTTTCTTTTGTATATTGTCAGTGCAGCTATACATTTATTTCTTTTACAGCCTGTGAATATGTTCCCAGCAACAGAAGCAGGATTCCATGATGTTTATGGAAATGTCTGGCACTGGACAGAGGACCATTTTAATGGACTGTTTGACTATAGGTCACATTATCTCTATGATGATTTTTCCTCACCATGTTTTGATGGACGACATAACATCATTCTTGTAAGTTTTATTCTTTAGTTTTAAGATGTGAAGAATACTTACATCTTGAGATTAAGTCTGCATTCATAAAAAAGTATATAAGCTGCAAAGCATAAGTTTGATTTTAAGAGTTCCCTTTTAATAGAAGAAAGACTTAAATTGTTAAAATGTTTTGAACAGTTTGCTATGCTGAATTTCAGTTTGGTTCTTTTTCCAGTTTTAAAAGGATATTTATCAAAGACAAGTAGTTCAATCATTTAAGACACATTTGTCGACTGGAGTTACCAACATTCTATATTTCTTTATGTACAGGGATGGAGTTACCAACATTCTATATTTCTTTATGTACAGGGATGGAGTTACCAACATTCTATATTTCTTTATGTACAGGGATGGAGTTACCAACATTCTATATTTCTTTATGTACAGGGATGGAGTTACCAACATTCTATATTTCTTTATGTACAGGGTGGTTCCTGGATATCCACTGGTGATGAAGCTTCAAGATTTGCTAGATATGCCTTCAGAAGACATTTTATTCAGCATGCTGGGTTTAGATTAGCTAGATCTCTGGAAACAGCAGAATTACCAGCAAGACTGATTGACTCTGAAGTATTTGTCCTGGGTATTGGTGTGCAAGGTAAATAGATAACAGATAGTTTGATTGAATCTAATTTTTTTTTCTTTTTTGATACAGTTAACACAAGTAAATATATTATACTGCAGCATTGATCAATAAATTTCATAACTCCTTAAAAAAAACTTTAATCTGATTGAGAAAACAGATCATGTGTCCAGGTCCTGATTACTAATGTGTCCAGGTCCTGATTACTGATGTGTCCAGGTCCTGATTACTAATGTGTCCAGGTCCTGATTACTAATGTGTCCAGGTCCTGATTACAAGAAACTGACAATGATCTGTAATACTTTCAGTTATTAAGACTTTTTTAGGATCTTATGATTTCGATGTATCAATGTAAAAAATACACAACTTAAATTTTTTTTAAGGCAGACATTTAAACGATTGATATAGTAGTTTCCAATCATTTTGATTAAAAGATTAAAATTCTGGGTAACAGTAATACATTTTGAAGTTTGATCACATTAAATACAATCATTGTAATTAGTGTATTTGTTTTTGATAATACTTGTTGACTATATAACAAATGTTCTTTCAGAAAACCCATCTGTAATTGAAGAGAAAGGCCACAAAGTGGTGAAAGTTCCAACAACCAATAAACAATATGGTTATGATGAGAAGAATCAATTATATGGTATACTTGAGCAGGAATTTGGCTACCGTGACCCATTGCCACTAGCTATTGCTAGACTCTGTAAAGAATACAAAACTGAAAGTGGAAATGAATCACTGTGCTGGATTGGTTGTGGAACTGGAATTGGACCAGTGCACCTACACAATGTCTTTCAAAATGTATGTTTTTCATGCACATTTTTCCTTTTACTACCTTCACATCCATGTAAAGCATTTTAAATAATTAGGTTAATTCTGAAATGGATGGGAAACATCTAATTATTTTAATTTAATTAACTGTTATAATTCCCCATTTTTGGAAACAGATTGGGTTGTCATATTACTAAATGTTTTATATATTTGTTACAGATTTTGGCAATAGATTATGGTGGTCGATTTATTGACACAGCTTTAAAACTTCAGAAAGGAGAACAAGTAGAATACACAAAGTCAAATGGTCAACAGGCCGTAGCAATGTTTGACAGTGTGGGATATGACAATGTTGTTTTTAAACAGGTAAAAATAGACTATAACTATAAAGGAAATTACATTATGTTGTCTTCAAACTGGAAATTTTATACAATTTAACAGTAAACAGGCTTAAATCATTTGTTGACAGCATATGGTACAAAAGTACTACATTTCAAACACGCATTTAATAACTCAGAGCCAGTAATACCCATATTTTTAAAATCAATAGCTTTACAACTGGAATGACTCCTTAGATATAAAGTGGCATTATGAATGTTATAGTCATTTTATATATGTAAAGTTATCTACATGTATTAGGTTTTTCACGATACATTTGTTCTACCGGGTAGTAAATTTTTCCCTTGAAAGAAAATTCTGATAGTTACATACCTCAGTACTCATATAAAACCTGTAGTGGTTAACTGTTTTTTTTTGTCATATTTAAAGATGATTGATACACTTAACTTATAAAATATTTTTTAATTTTATTTTTTATTAGTTGACATGGTTACCAAATGAAGTGAACAGCCATAGTATGACTGTTGTAACCTTCCTGGACAGAACACTTAATCCTAAAGGTAAACATCCTCAGTATTGTTTGTATTGAATAAAAAGGATCAATAAATTTTAACTCAAGTAGCCATTTCATAATCTAAAGCATTATGGGTAATTTCATTGTTTGTGTCATCAAAGGCAACTAACATCGGGTCATTTGTTAAATTCAGTTATTGAGGACATTGTTAGCAATTCACATCATTTTGGTGTATGCTTTTAAAAATATTACCCAGAATGCATCAGATTCTGAAATTATGAATTCTATTATATGATATTTTTGTCAAATTATTTTCTAAAAAATTAAGAAAAAGAGGATGACTTTTTCAAATCTGTTTTAGATTTTACAAATCAGTTGTTATATTGTTATTATTGTTTGAAATCTATTGGAAAAAAATAGAATGGGCTATTTATCTTGAATATTTGACAGCATGGTTGGCTCGTCTGTGGGAAGTAACAAAGGAAGGTGGACTAATCCTAATTGTGTCTGACTGGGAAAGCGAAAAGCTACAAGCCAGCCTGCAAAGACAGTAAGTAAATGAAAGTTTGCCATTTAATTCTACTTTTATTTTGTGAACTGCTACATGTTTAGGATGTTGATTTATTTCCGAAAATCTTCTTTCAATGCTGACTAAGATAATCCAGATATTTTATCAATGTAATTTTAAGTCTGAGATTTATTGAACAAATTTGTGTTCCTTATCAGTTTTCTAAAATTAAAATGACTGAAAAATCCAAAAAAAAAAACATATTTGTGGTTTTTTTTTAAAGGAGGTGTAGGCACACTTCAGAATATATCTAGAGTTCTATACTAAGCCACCAGGTCGTTGACTGTGGTATATAAACATATTATCTGGACTTCTCTCATACACCTGTAAAACCCATGTGAAAAGGGAGCATCTATTTGTCTGTATGCGATGTATAAATACCCATAGCTATGACTGGTCAGAATGGGGACTGATTAAATCTGATGCCTGGTGTAGGAAGAGTTGATAAACTTTTACATCGTATTGTTATTTTGAGATACATTGTAGATCCTGATGAGATTTAAAAAAATGATAAAATAGAATATAGTTGTAATGCTTGTTTTTATGGAAAAATGGGTCTTAAAATTGGAAATTAGTGCAATAATCTTGAAATTTAAGAAATTAACAATTTTCTTACACTGGTTATATTTTGCAATAAAATACTCAAATTGATTTGATCTCAAAGATGCAAGAATATATTTCATTTCAGTCCTCACAAGGTTCTTGTATTGTCATTTTGCCAATATATTTTATAGTTTGTCTTCATTTGCATTTTGAAATTAATAATAAGAATGTATAAGTTAAGTTACTGTAGGTTTGTTCCTCCAATTTTTGCCTAATTATTTGTGATAGGAATCACTTTCCAGCAATCAGAATAGTTCAAAAGACGTTTCCTGTGAAATTTAGAAAAAGCTTTAACTCTGAGGAAAGACAATTATTTGCTTTCCGTGACATTTGAAAATGACAAAAATATTTCTTCTGTAACTTATTCAATGGGTAATTTTGTGCTGTAAGTTTTTTTCCTTTATTACGAAGTCATAAACAAAACTATGATCAGAACATTGAATGTCATTATTCTTATCAACAGTTATCTCCCCTGAAACTGTAGTGACTCTCCTTATAGGAGTCTTGCAACAACTGTTTGAGGCATACATAGGTGGCTTGTTGCAAGCACATTTGGGATTAATTTGTTCTCTTGATATTGAGCAAACAAAAATAAATAATCAATGTATACTATCAACCAAATTTCATTTTTTAGTATGGTTTACATTGGAAAAAGGGAATTGTCATATCAAGATGGAAATGCTGTTGCAATGATGACCATTTGGAAAAGAATCTGAATTTGTTGACTCAATTTTTATTGTCTGAGACAATATGTTAATACTGTTTTTATATTTTATATACATAATTATTAATTGTACATTTTATATTGTTTTTTTATTATTATTTTGATTATATTTCCTAATAACTTTATTATTTGTTAGTCCTCAAGTCACTATTTAGTGCTGACAGTATTGTGTTCCTTACATGATGGCCTTTGCTGTTTAATATATTAGTATATATGTAGTTAAAATTATTCTTATGAATACTTATGACAATGTTTTTCCTTATTTTTAATGTGGAAAATAACATTGTAATAATCTGTTTACACATGTATGATATTATATTGATGTATTTTGAATTGTTAATTAATCAAGATAAATGTTAAGGTACTGTTGTATGAAACTTTTCTTTTGCAATGATAATTCAATGTTTTTTGTTTTTTTTTAAGAAATCAAAATGTTACTTCATGTGTTATTGATTGTGATGAAAAAATCCCCTTTTCTTAAATAAAGTGTTTTGTATTTTATTATTCATTGTCTATGTTTATGTTGAAATTGTTTTTACTGGCCTCTTATAAGGTGAATGGCTTCAGTTGGGTCTCAATGTGTACTCTTTAGCTTACCTGACCTAGAGACCAAGTGAGCTTTTCTCATCACTTGTTGTTCGTCGTCATGGTTAATTTTTACAAAAATCTTCTATGAATCTACTGGGCCAAATTTAACCAAACTTTGTTACAATCATTATATGGGTATTTAGTACCTGCCAACCAACATAACCGACATGGCTTAAAATAGAACATAGCAGTAAAATGCAAGTTTTGTCTATTATCTTGAAAACCATATGAATAGAGAAACTGACAGGGGCAGTAATGTTCAGAATGTTGAGATCTACCTGCTGTCCATTTACGTCTTCTCCTCTGAAACTACTTGACTAAAGATTACCAAACTTGGGCGCAATCATTATTGGAGTATATTGTTAAAAGGATGTGTCTGATGATCCTTCTGCAAACCAACATGACTGACATGGCTAAAAATAGAAGAAAGGGAAAAACTGCAAGTTTTGTCTATTATCTTGAAAACTGCTATGAATATTGAAAATCTGACTGAGGCAGAAATGTGCAGGATGTTGAGATGAACCTACTGTCCATTAAAGTAAAAACTGTCATGCGTCTCCTTGTAGTAATTGCCCATAAATGTCAAATTTTATCAACTTTTTTCATTTTTGTCAATTATTTTGAAAACTATGATAGATAAAGAGAAACTTTTATTAGGAAAAATGATCAGACAACTGCTGATTGGAGTTATTGCTCTTTAATGAAGTTTTGTACCAATTTTTGCTTTTTTGCCTATTACATTGTATTTTGAAACTTTGATAGATAGAAACTTTAAATATCAAAAATTATCAGCAAGAGAAGATCTACAAACAAGTCATATAGCTTAAATCTTGAGTCAACTTATTATTTGAGTTATTGCCTTTAAAGATGTTTTTTTACCATTTTGTTTTTAATTTTTTGTCCAATATATTGAAAAGTATAGAGGAAACAAATGTAGATAGAAACTTTAAAAAGCAAAAACGATCAGCAGGATATGGTCTACAAATATTTGACTATTTTGGCCATGTTGAGTAGTCTTAGATTTAAATATTCCTTACTGATATCTCTTGTGTGGTCTCGAACATTGCTCCTACAAATACTTGGTTTCCGAAAGTTCTATACATGTATATTCAATTGTAGATTAAGTTTCAGTTATTTCAGTCCATCTCTTGTTCCAGTTTTGACGATCATATCATGAGTTATTTTTTCCAATTTTTCTTGGGATTAAGTATGATTGCATATGCTGAAAGCAAATCATATGACCTCAGAATATTGTCCAAATTTAAAAACCATCCATTTATCATCAGAAACAGTAGTTGTTTAATTGCCTTTTTGGAAAGCTTTCTAATTTTTGGATGTCTGTTTTGGTAGTGTTGAGAATTCAATTCCATAAAGCATGTTTTCTCTTTATTTTGTATGATATCAATGGATTAATTTCGTGTAGTCCTGCTCCCATAAGGGAGTACATAGTTGCTCTTGCAGTGGAGATTCCTTTCTCAATGTTTGGGCGGTTTCGGTGCTGTCTTTCTATACCTATGTGTTAAATGTTCTGCTTTCCATTGATCTCATTGTTAAAAACATTAGATTTACTTCTTTGTTCTATTTGTTGATTAGCGGAAATTTTTTATTGTTCATCTCAACTCTCTTATTTAAGTTGAGTCAAGGCATCATATTCTGAGCTTGAACATAGCATTATGTCATCTGCGCACGTGGGACAGCATACATAATTGGTTCTTATTTCAAATCCAATGTTTGTGGTTTCAGGTGTATCCAGTATGGTCTTATTGTAACTCTTAGAGAAGTCGACATAGAGATTCGTTCCCTGTTTTGACTCTTTGTTAATTTATGCAATGTTCTAAGATACAGCCTTGAGATTTAACCAATGTGGATGTTTTGTTATATAGTTCTTTTTATCACTAATCAGGTTGATCCTGTAATTCCTTGGTGGTATAATTTACAAAATGAGTGTATGTGGTCTATAAACTCGAAAGTTTTTTCGGCATTTAGAGTAATCAAGATGAGACACGCATTTTATCTTTGTCCTCAGAAATGGCTTCGATGATTAAAAACGCAATTTATTTTTAAGAAATTGGTGAAATCTTTCTGAAGTTTATTTTGATGTTTAATGAAAATGACTTTGATTATAGATCTAACACAAAATTCCAATATTTTCCATATAATAGAGATAACAGTAATGCCTCTGTGGTTTGATGGTATTGTTGGGTCTTTGTTTTTTTGCGGACTGGAGTAATAAGACATTTTTTAATAGCATCAGTAATATGTTTTGTGTAAAATATATTATTTAGTAAGAGATTGTCAGATATATACAACTTATGCTGATCCACCATGAGTAAGATGTTATCAATAAAGAAATAAGTTTTGAAATTTCAGTTGAAGTAACCGGTCGAATTGTTATTTCTTCATTTTCACATATGTCTACAATTGTATCCGCATCTAGCTTGACAAGATTGTCATGTATTTCATTGAAGCTATAATTTGTTTAATTGCTTTCAAATATATTTCTTGAAAAGATTAATAATATCGTCAGGGGAAGAGGCTTCCTTTCTTCTGTATGCAGGTAATAAGCTAACTGGCAGATGAGTATCTTTGAGTTTTCATTAATCGAAAGAATTCATCTTTATCTCTGTCTGTCTAAACAATCATTTCTTCATGTAGCTCAAGGGTGCATTTTCAATAAATATTGCTATCTTAATCACCGAAGCAATTTCAATTTTTGACTCATTCTTAATTTTATGTAACATGGTTTGTTCTTTGCCTAAAAAAATATTACCATATTTGTGTGCATGATGTGCATTTTTGTTTGTTCTTGGATGACTTGCGCCAACACTATCGGCGTATTTTCTCGACTCCTTCTTTTGATTAGCTGCAAAACTGTTTTAACTATTAATACTATAGAATGTCAAGTCATGAGGTGTTCTAACTGGAAGGTTTTAACTGTTTGAATATTGGTAAATGATTAATGATATGTATTGGCATATAACTCTTGGATTTCGATCCTGTATCTATTTGTTCTTTGTCAGCAAAACTGTTTCTAACTACCAGAACTGAGTTTGTCACTTTGAACTACACTAAAATTAGTATTCATGTCAGAGTTGGTCTTGACTTTCGTGCCATTGTTTTGTTCTGTTCATTTTCTTGAATTCTGAATAATAGTTTATTCTGAGAATGTTGAAAATATATCGGATAGACAGCATAAACTGCTACTACTATCAATAATAGGTATCTGTGGTTCAAACTCACTAGTTATTTGAGGATGAAACAGTTGTGAACGCTTGAATTGCATGTTGATATGTGGAAATACTGGATGTAATGGAACTTGTTGAAACTTGATTTTGAGTTGTCAGAGGTATAGCATAACATACATGTTGAGGTTATACCATTTGTACTGGAGTGTGTGGATTAAAGTTGTTTTGATTTTGTTGTTTTAGTCTCACTTTTGTCATTTCTCTTTCTAGTTCTTTCACTTTGTTACTCAAGTAGTGAACTGTGACAATTGGAAGTATAGATATAAGTATTTGATTCTTTGACTGTAAACTATGATTGGCAGTTATATTTTGGTTGTAACCATTAAAGCCTAGTTTGGTCAGTTTTAACTTTCTTATTGTGTTGTTGTTATCCAATATTGTGTTTTCAAGCTCACCAATATGAGCTTCAACTACAGCTAGTTTAGAATTGTCATCGTCTTACTCTGTGTTCTTGTTTTGCATCCTCGTTTTGTTTCTTTGATCAAAGCTTGCTTAGTTAATTTAGTAGTATTAATGCTGTCTCATTCAACATTTTGGTTCTGAGAGTTTAGAGCTATATTATTTTCATAGAACCCTATGTTTGTGTCGTTTATGCTGGTATGCGATCTTGTAAGTTGGTACTCGATCATGTGTGCCAGATTTTAGTGATCATCGTTGGGTTCTTGGCCAACTGTAGGTATTTTTACTATAATATCTGGAGATTCTAGGGAATAAGCATATCGTTCAATGCTTTGAATGTTGGGTTCTATTTCACAGGTGGATACATTTTTCAGAGACAGGTTACATTGTATACATTGACATTTTTCTAAACTGTGAATACTCGTAGATTTAAAGAGCTCTGGTGTAACATTTTGACATTGAAAGTGAAATTCTTCTTCACAGGTGACATTAATGAAAAATTCATAGTTGTCTGTGTCTTCTGATCATGATGCACAAGTTGGACAATCTTGAGGAGTTATTGTTGTTTTATCATTTTCTGCCGGAATTTTGCTGATTGAATTCGAAATGGTTGAGTGATCTACTCTGTTAGACACTTCAACGATTACACAGTCGTGTGTTGATGTCGCCCTGTTTATTTGCAGAATTGTACTGGAGATTCGTGTAGTCAAGAATGAGTAACATGATACATGTATTGCTGAATTCATTCTCTTAAAAAGGTAGTGATGGGATTGATTTTAGAATGCCATGAATGTATTTCCTTTTAACATTACCTACCGGTATGTCTCTGCCATTTGCTCCTACAGAGATGGCTGTTTTATACATATTAAGCCCATAAGCTTGTCTCCGTCCAATACCGATGTTAGGGATGTTTTTGATACTGAACGATTCTTCTACAATAAGAGTGTTTCGTCTCTTTTGAAATGAGATATAGCAGCTATCTTTGTCGACTGTTCGTATTAATTAAGAGTTTGTTTATGAAACATCAAGAATGCAGCAGGTGTTAATTTCATAACAAGGATTCCATTTGAACTCAGTTTGCACGTCCAAATTATTAGTAACGTCAATTATTTTCTGCTTGATCTGTATCAAGTCTTTACTTAAAAGTGGTTGTTATCCCTTGGTTAATTCTAATTGGTGTGGATAGATAAAAAGGTTGAACTGATTTTCTGGCATGCCTTATGCTAGCGACTGCTAGGCTAGGTGTATATCTATGTGGTGTAAACTTCTCTCTAAGTGGTCTTCGTCTTGGGGAAGCTACTATATTTAAATTCAGGGACAGCAAAGCAGTATTTACTATCTTAAAAGTAGTTTATCCTTTTTTGGTTATTTTACCTACCTTTAATTACTAGTATGCGATATTAAGGACAGCAAAACTGTTTTTACTATCAAAAATATTGACTTGGTTCATAATTGTTTCTCGTTTTTTATATAGATTAGACCGTTGGTTATCTGTTTGAATTGTTTTACACTAGTCGTTTTGGGGCCCTTTATAGCTTGCTGTTCGGTGTGAGCCAAGGCTACGTGTTGAAGGCCGTACTTTGACCTATAATGTTTTACTTTTTATACATTGTGACTTGGATGGAGAGTTGTCTCATTGGCACTCATACCACATTTTCTAATTTATATTGGATAGTCTGTCTATTTTGGATGTTCAGAGTTTATGTAGGGATGACCAACTGTGTAGATGAAATGCAATGCATTATACAACAAAGTTGAGCTGAATCTGTATCTTTAACGTTGTTTTTATTATTTATTTTTTCAACAATGCTTACACTGTGGACAACTGTTATTACTATCCAATGTGTAGTTAATCTATAATACAAGGTCATCCTGAAATTTGAATGTAAAAAGACGATTTTGGTATTTTTTATGTTTGTCCATAGGTGTGGACAACAAAACTGTTTTACTATCCAAAACTATGATGTTGTTTTTATTATTTAATTAATGTAGAAAAACTCTATTGCAGTAAAGAGTTGCAATGACACAGTGGACAGTAAAACTGTTTTCACATTTAATGGTGGGTTTGAACTGTCTACGAGTTTTAGCTATCTATGATCGTCTTGGATCCCGTTAAGTTTTAATTGTATTAATTGCAACTGTTTCTTTTTTGTTTTGGTGAAACAGTCAAAGACAATCTGTCTGCCAATGCGCTGATATCAAAGTTTTGCTAGTAACAAGTTGTGCTGTTGGCTAAGTGGACGTGTTTAAAGTTGAAATATGAGCCTTTGCTCTTTGTTTTAAAGCCATTTGTAGGAATAAGGTTGTTTATAGCCTCTATTTGTTTGGCGAGCTTAAGATCATCCTTATATAAGGAGTGCGGGTCAGGATTATTTTAGATGTGTTATATTCCACGATTGCGTATCGTTGGATTTCAAGTAATGTTACTTTGGGAATATGTTCCTTCCATGAAGTTTTATGGCCAGAGTAATGTACTCGAATTTATTCTTTATATACTTAAGGGCACTAGCAGTTGTTTTAACCGAAGTTTTACGTGTCCCAACTTTGACTGTAGCGTTTCAGTTTCCGAGCCACACATACACGTTTATGAATTTGAACCTTTCTGTGTTTTGTTCCTTGTCCAAAGGATAAAGTCTCCCAGTCTTGAGCTTGATTAGTTGATGAACTGGATGTTTAGTTCATTTAAGGTTGTAAACCTCTGGTTTGATATAAGAACCCTTACTTTCTGAGAGGAAGACTGGTATATACCTCTGCTGAAGACTTGCAGTATCTATTGCCCTAAGCTTCTTCTAATGTCGCTATCGGTCATGAGAACTGTTTATAAACAATAAGTTATAATAGAGAGGCCGCCAACGTTATATCTTTGTCTAAGTGTGTCAACATGACGAATCTAGTTCCACCTGATTAAGTTTCAACTTAAAGTGATTGAAAAAGAATGGAAATGGAAAATGTATCAAAGATACAACAATCCGGCTCAAGGACACCAATGGGTCTTCAAGACAGCGAGAAAATCCCGCACCTGGATGTTTACATTAATAAAACAAGGTTAAATGCACCAATTAATCTTTTAACGGCGGGATTTTTCTTGCTTAATCTGCACGAGAACAACCCAGATTTTTCAAATTATTTTATTTGTGTGTGTTTTTTTTTACATTCAATTGTTATTAAATGTTACGTCTTTATCTCTAAAAAATATAAAATTGATGAAAGTAGGGTGTACCTGTGCAAGTATCCTGTAAATTATCGAATTTCTTTTCTGTGAAAATATCCGACAACACTTGTCAACATCAACCGGAAATTTAATTTAAAGTTTCTCCCAGATAGTTGCCAGAATAGGATTAAAAAAATAAAGAAAAAAATGGTGAAAATACTCATCTAAGGGCAATAACCTCTATAAGGAGTCGTCTGACTGCTGTTATGATATTGTAACTATCATATTTATTTAGTTGGCCTTATTTGTTCTGTAATTTGTAACGATTCCAGAATGATCATAATAATAGATGCGTATAAATTTAACCTACACTGTTCTAGAAGATTCCGTTCTATAGTTTTCTAGGAGTTTCCTTTCTACAGTGTTCTAGAGATTTCTGTGACAACTATATATATACAGACACTAAAGTCAAACATTCAGACATAGACATTAATATTCTCAGACCTTCTCTCAATTGGATTGACACTTTTATTTACGAACAACATCATGCTAGATTGTGACCTATTGGACGTAATATTCTGTTTGGATTCCCGAGAAGAATTCCGGATAAAGAAAAGACAAAAGATCGGACATATATTTTAACAGTTAAGTTGACATTTCTATTTGTGTAATACTTCTTTTAAACTTGTGTATAATAAATCTTGTTAAATTTTATTATTGATTTGTGTCTTTTGTTGGCTACAATTAAAGGTAATTTCTGGCCGTATAAACACTACTTTTATTTAAATGGAGAATCGATAGATTTTTACATTCTAAACATTAATTGTTTTGCTCGTTCTTTAATCCCATATAGTTACCTATAGTTGCTTACATTTACGTCATTCAAAGTGGTGTCTGATGCATAGTTGTCACATTGGCAATCATACTGCCACATTTTATTTTTATAGTTTGCTATGTATCTAAGACAGTTTTCAAAATAGTAGACAATAAATGCATTATTTTACCGCTAATTTCTATTTTTAGCCTTGTCGGCCATGCTGGTTGGTTGACGGGATCATAGGACACTTTTTATAACAAGATTTTCCAATGATGATTCTCGCCAAGTTTTGTTCCAATTGATCCAGTATTTTCTTAGAAGATTTCGGTAGAAGTTGACGGAGTACGACAGATGACGGACGCCAAATGATGGCAATAGTTCACACTAGTCTTTTGGGGCAGATGAGCTAAAATATTGAGGACAAAGAAGCATTCATGCCACTTTACAAAGGTAGACCCAAATTTCACGTTTCTGAGAAAACAAAAACTTCACAACAAATGCACATGGCTACAATAATATAATATTTGTAAGCCTTAAAACAAAAATTTTCAATTTTTTTAACGTACGTTTTTTAAACTAATTCTAAAATGACTACGCTTTTACTTGAAACTGAGAAGGATGAACCTGATGTTCAGTAGTTGTCGTTTGTTGATGTGGTTCATAAGTGTTTCTCGTTTTTCGTTTTTTATATAAATCAAACTGTTGGGTTTTCCTGTTAAATGGTTTTACACTAGTCATTTTTGGGGCCCTTTATAGCTTGCTGTTCGGTGTGAGCCAAGACTCCGTGTTGAAGGCCGTACTTTGACCTATAATGGTTTACTTTTACTAATTGTGACTTGGATGGAGAGTTGTCTCATTGGCACTCATACCACATATTCTTATATCTATTTAGTACATATATTGAAATTGTGGTTTTCCTCAAGTCATTCGTTCTTTACGCGCGTCTGGTGTACATGATTTTAAGCCTGGTATCAATGATGAGTTTGTTTACTCGTTACAATTCAAAATGGTCAAAGACAACACTTTTCTCTTTATCAGTATTTAAACTTCTACAGTTGTTAAACTATAAACGAATATTCAGTTGAAATCGAATAAATTCAGGTTTAAAAAAAGCACAAGTAAATGAGATCAAATATAATTAGAAATGTATTTACTCTAAATGGAGATAAAACCAGGTCCGTCGACGTGGTAAGCATTTTTCGTTTTCATGCGTCTTCCGTCTAAAGACTCCAAAGTTAATGAAAAAGCCAGATAAATGACAACGGTAATTTCAAATTGATCTCATTGACCGTGATGATGTAGGATATGTTACACTCACGGATTCATAAAGAATCAGAAAGAAATACTGGCTCGGTCGTCGCCCAGTATGAAAAGTCGTTTTTCGTGTTTCAATCCCATTACATACACTATTTAATAGCGGAATTAAGTATTGACAATTCACCTGGACACTCAAAAATACTTCCACGACACGTACAAAAAATAGGAAACCCTGAACAATCATAGGTCTGTTCTATGTTTCTTTGGAATTTCAACCGAAGATGAAAAAACAGGATCTTCCTTCATTGTACAGGGTACCACAATAACATAAGTTGCCTTCCAAACATTATATTACTGGGTCTGCCAAGTGCTCCATGCAGCCTCTTCCAAATAATTGACATCCATTTTTCAGCAATCAAAGCCGGGCTTCAGAGTTATTATGAAACTCTACTCTAGGGGCAGTATGAATCAGGTTCGGATACTTAAACATTAAAAAATATCTGTTTGATTATATACAATCTAAGTCTTCTTCCTCTTCCAATAGTATAAAACACATTTGACTTCTCTACCCCTCAAACTAGTATTCCCAATTTTAACTTCAATGCAGATTGAAAGAATAAGTCAAACATCGTTTAATTAAACAGAATGATTAACGATATTACACATATTTTGATTGAAAGGATATCATCAATATCAAAAATTGAAAATATCACAGGATTTTGTTACATCTTTTTCTTCTTGTTTTATGAAGCGTTTATATTGATTCCGTTTCATATGAGCACAATAATAAGTCTGCTAGTTGCAGAAATGACCATTTCCTTTGGCATATCAAACTGATTTTATTGCTATTCAAACGGTAACATGTCTATACTTTTACTGTCCATATTCGAAAGGATTTGTTCATTCACAATAGCAATAGGCTGAAATGTTTTCAGTTACAGTTTGAAAGCATTGTTTTTTAAAACTTATAAACCAAAGAACAAATTAAACCCATTGCTATTGAAAGGTTGTTAGTAAGTAGCAATTGTAGTTTAATTAAAAAAATACCATCCAATTTTTTAGGTTGACCTTTTTTCTTAGTTAGGATTCAACAGATGGTCAATCATGATAACGAACACTATTTTATAAAAGTATATGACTTGCATAAGTAAATTCAATCATAATGCCCTCATTAACGTAATTTGTTCTAAAAATTATATGAATGGTTATTCAACTAATATTATATGTTCTGAAAGGTACATTCGGTTTATCTTTTCTCAATTAAAAATGAAAACTGATGGCTTTAGAATTAAACCATAACTGGGAAAAAACTGTACAGTTCTAACTAGATCAAATAAAAAATTATGAGACATTTAATCAGACAAATTGTTAAATTTGCTACAAAGTGTTAAACACATATGTTTAGCCAGAACGATAAGTATTGTCACAATCTAAACGTATTTTGTCGTAAGAATGGACTGTGATACAAACGGTAAACACATACGTTTAGCCAGAACGATAAGTACTGTCACAATATAAACGTATTTGGTCGTAAGAATGGACTGTGATACAAATGTTAAACACATACGTTTAGTTAGAACGATAAGTATTGTCACAATATAAACGTATTTGGTCGTAAGAATGGACTGTGATACAAATGTTAATTAACACATACGTTTAGCCAGAACGATAAGTATTGTCACAATATAAACGTATTTGGTCGTAAGAATGGACTGTGATACAAATGATCAACACATACGTTTAGCCAGAACGATAAGTATTGTCACAATATAAACGTATTAGAATGGACTGTGATACAAATGGTAAACAAAGCGGGCATATTCTAGATGTAGGCTTATTTTAAAATATCACTCACAATATTGTGAATTTTTTTCATTAAAACGTTTTATCTCTTCTTCTTGGTCAATGCTATCGATATCATAGCTTCGAATTTCGTCTTGTATGTTTGGCGGTATAAAATCTATATTTGGCTCACTTGGAGCCAACCCACTGTCAGAAACAGTACGCAAATTACTCTCTGTTGCTTCGTTAAAACCTGTCCAAAAATTTCCCGCATTGATACATACTTTCTCTTTTGACCGATTGAAGCTGATGAAAGCATTTCTGAAAACGTTTGAATTGATGTTTGGATGAATTGATTTCAACGATGGCTCCCTCGCTGGCAATCCACTATCTGAATTATTTCCCAACGCTTCTTTAAATGCCTTTATAAAATTTCTGCCTCCTTTAGACGTTAGAATATTATCATTACGTTGGTCGCAAAACTGGTTAAAGTCTTCTTCCCATGGATGAAAACCGTTGATATGACCGAGAAATTCATTGAGCTGTTTTACTAACAGATACTGGTGTTTGTTGCAAAGATCAAAGGGAACCTGTATATTTTGACTATGTCCAAACTGAACAAGAATGATCTTATTTGATATGTCATTATTGCTAATTGAATTATTTAAAGCAGTTTCAAGACATTCCATAAATAAACTGTCATTATTTTGTCTATACGCCGACTCTACCCACTGTGCATACTGATTTACTGAACACTTTGATAAAACAAATACCATATGATCTGATTTATTCACGGCATTGTCGATCCAGCGGTTTTTATTCTTAGACTGAGACAAGGGATAAAATAAAATATTGAGTTTACAAGTTTCTTGCAGGAAAATAACAAAAGACATGACTAATGTGTTATGTAGGTCGTCGTCATCTGCCGCTACAATGGCTACTGTCCCTGACCTACCATTTAAGGCTGAAAAAAATATAATTATTATTTTTCACTTCAATGAAGAAAAACAGTAACTTATTCATCTTAACATTCTATATCCAATCTTGTAAACATATCCAGTATACTCTGTTTAAGGGGAGGTAGCCAGGCAGATTTACCGTTAAATATCGAGTATACTCTGTTTAGGGGAGGTATCAAGGCGGATGTACCTTTAAATATCCAGTATACTCTGTTTAAGGGGAGGTAGCCAGGCGGATGGACAGTTAAATATCGAGTAAACTGTTAAGGGGAGGTATCAAGGCGGATTGGCCGTTAAATATCCAGTACACTCTGTTTAAGGGGGAGGGGGTGGGTAGCCAGGCGGATGGATCGATAAATATCAAGTATACTCTGTTTAAGGGGAGGTAGCCAGGCGGATGGGCCATTAAATATCCAGTATACTATGTTTTGGGGAGGTATCAAGGCGGGCGGATCGTTAAATATCCAGTATACTCTGTTTAGGAGAGGTATCCAGCAGATGGACCGTTAAATATCCAGTATACTCTGTTTAGGGGAGGTATCAAGGCGGATGGACCGTTAAATATCCAGTATACTCTGTTTAGGGGAGGTATCCAGGTGGATGGAGCATTAAATATCCAATATACTATGTTATGGGGAGGTAGACAGGCTGCAATTGTATTACAATCATCTTTTGATGGTGTACATTTTTTCAGCCGTTCCTAAAATCTCAAAAGAAACCTCTTTTTTTATATTGACCTCTAATCATTGTTGAGTTGATGTGTTATTGACGTTCATCCCACGTCTCATTTGATTAATACTAATAAATACGAGGCGCAGATTTAGTCAGAATTAATGTATATCTTGAAAAATTTCGGGACCTCCATAATTCGAATTCAAAATCAATAATTCATTGGAGACCTCCTGAAATATTTCAGAACCTCCATAATTCGAAATTCAGGACATCCTAAAATATTCCTGGACCTCCACAAATATTTCAGGATCTTCTTAAATACAATAATTTTGACTAAATCCTTGCCTCATGAATTCAAGTTAGCCTTCAGTGACTATGTTACATACTAAAACCATCAAACGTACTATGCGGTATATGAATTTAACTAAATTACTACCGAATTACAGATTTTATATAAAATTAGACAAGGCTTGTCGTACCTTTAACATCTGTGTTATTTATATTCACATCTGTATAAGAATTTCTGTTTTCTGAAACTGGAAAATAGTTAATGTGTGTTATAAAGCAAGAAATAACATTTTCTACATTTAAACTATTAATATTCAGTATGATGATTTGCTGACAATTTGATAGAAGACATTAGTGTAAATGAGAGAGAGGGGACTATACTGTAATCTGTTGGAACAGTTTAATGTGAAATGGAAGGAAGCCTGTATGATCTCAAATAAAAATTAACGGTTACAAACTGAGGCTTTTTTTTCAACCCAAAATTGCAAGTCGTAGCATTTTCCTACCTCATATGAATTTTGCTATTCTTGTAAGGTATTTTGTTTTTATAATATAGCTGCTTATGTTTCTCCGTATTTAAACATCCCTGGCATTTTTTATGTTTGAAAAAATTTACATTTATTTTCATTTGCAGATAGCAATCAGAGCATAACAACTGTTTGTTGTAACTTTTCAGTTTTGAACCTCTAGCATGCGCTTAGTTCACTTTTGATTAGATGCTAGAGGAAGTAAGCCAGACCTAATTTTTTATGCCATATAAACACCACAACTATTTTTGACTAAAGCTGTATGAGGTGTACCTCAAATAATGTCAATCTGCATGTTGCCGCTCCAAAACTTGTCTAACAAAAGTATTTTTGTAATTATTTTTGGTATTGTAAAAGATTTTTTACCCATTTAGTCAATTAAATTCATGGCATCGATGCTGAATTGACTATTACTATTGATCCATTTTTAGTTCGATGTCTTTTCCTTTTTGCATGCATTTACATTGCTTGTTTTCTGTTTTATCTATTGATTAGTCGTTGGAATACTTTTCTCTGTCAAAATTAACGTTCATATTAATGACTTACCTTTATAGAATTTGTAACATTCAACAATTATAATTATCGCTAGGAGAAATGCAATAAATCCGAGAACACTGGGTATAATATCCTGATTAGGTGTTTTACTTATGATCGGGGTTAATGCAGCTCGCATTGGGTCGGGTGAAGTTCGTTGTAAACTCAAAGTTCTTACAGTTCTTCTTGTGACTGCTAAAGGCATTTCACCTTTGAAAGGAAAAGTCCTACATTGAACACTTGAAATGAAGTTAAATAAACAGTCCATAGTAGTACAAACTCTTGAAAATTTCTTAACGTGAGGATACCCAAATTGCACCTATTTTGACAGTTTTTTCACCTACGTTTATTTATGATCTAGACAAAGTTTCCATTCTGTGTTTATTTTGTAGATGTATCATTATTTACTATATAGTTCCACCAATTTAATTTTGAATCCATATTGAATCATAGAAAAATGGGTTTGAACAGACCTCCAAACGGTCAATGATTCTGTAATGAGGAGTACCCAAATTGCATCCATGCTTAAATTCACATCCTTAAAAGTCGAATAGCAGATATTTTGTTTTATTTCTTTAAATATTAAGAATAATTTGACATTAGTCCATGCATACTATCAATTTTTTAAGAAATGAATGCTTCTAACATATTTTATTTGCTAATTTTTAAACGATGACTTTTTGTGGACGTCGCATGGCGACGTTTCCGTATATTTTACTTTTTCCAGTGAAAACTTCTTCTGTTTATATATACTGTGAACTTTTTGTGTATATTTAAATATATTTACCTATGTTGAAAGACGTGCATAGTGTCAAATCATAAAAATACAAATTGTTTAGTCTCTAGGAAAACTTGTAAGATTTCCTCTGCTATTTTCATTAAATAGGTGCAATTTGGGTACTCGGTGCAATTTGGGTACCGTGACGTAACATATTATTTTCCAAACATTAAACAAATGACACAAAATCACTAGAATTGCTACATAGTGAGAAATAGTGTCATAACAGTGGACATTGATCGTTTTTCCTCAGTTTTGTATGAGTCAAGTAATGGAAGCGATTGGACATAGTGTTTATTCCAGCACATGAAATGAACTAGTATAAATCCGTCTTGATACTAGTGTGTTTATTACGTCGGAAATGAAACACTACGGAAAATATGTCAGGGACATTAGTGTAATTCTTCCATAAGGAAAAAGTACACTGCCGGAAAAAAGATTCACTTTTATATGATCTGTGATTGAATAACGTATTTTTTTCAATTGAGTTCTTCTGTTCGATGTCTTGTATTCACAAAATATAAATTGTGCTTCTTAAACTCTGTCATTTGTGAGTTTTACTCCAATAGTCTTTAAAAGTAAAATGATCAGACGAATTACGTTCACAGTTTTTATGTTATATGTCAATATAGATTCAATGATTAAAGTCATATAACGAATTTCTGGTGGTTATAATGTTAAGCACATTATTGAACCAATGCGTGCATATATATACAAAACTAAGTTCTCTGTGTTTGCTTTTTTTTGAATATTTATTACGAACCCGTAACGTATAGTCACCTATTTAACTTTCGGGTTACTGTGTCGAAGGTTGCCGATTAAGATAACAATCAACATAGAATCATCGAGCACGTGAAAAATAATTGAGATGCTAGAGCGATGTTTATTTGTGTTTTGTTTTTTATATATTGTCCATGCGTTCCAATTAGTCAATCAAAGTTGGTTATAACGGTTGTTAAAAGATTTGGTGTATTTTAAAATTATCTTTCAGATTCGATTGTTTAAATCTTGTTTCCACGTTTGTTTACCTTATCTTTCGTTACGGTTTTCCCTTCGCACTTGCATTGTGTGGTTGCTGAATTTCTAACGAGAGTTGTAATGGTTAAGGTCACTGCATACGGAAAAGCTGTCGGCGAATTTGAAAGACAATAATTCAATGGCAGTACATTTTTGAAGATTTTGATAAAATAAAGGATGCTTTTAAAATGAAAGTATATGTTCACATGTTTTATAGTAAAACTTGTCCATTCAAGGATATAAAATATATTCAACTTTTTTGTTGAATTTGAAGTATCATGTGACTTTTAAACCTTTTCAAAGCTTAGACCTGCTTGATCCGAACTAGAATATTTTAATAAACAACATTTTACCTGTCGCGGCCACAATAATAACAGAAGTTCTTGTTCGTATACACTGTCCACAATTGTTTCTATTGGATTTACAACTGCAGTTGTCATCAAATGGCTGAACCTTAAAAAAAAATTATACGTTGGTTCGAATAATTTGTATATTACAGGAGAGACAAAGATATGTTATAAGATACAATGCCATTTTTTCATGTATTTACTTTCCTACATATAAAATATCATAAATTTATTTCATGGCAGGCGGAAGGATATAATTTTTAGGGTTTGACAGGATACACAATAGCATAGATACGATCAACTTCAAGGCTCATTTTTATGAAAATTGAACAACCGATGTCTCAATTCAATGGTTTTTGGTATTTTCAAATTATTGAAAGCTTATATCTCTGAACTGATTTCTTTGTGCAGAATTCTGAATATACTTGTTTCACCTAGAGCAATGTACGGGACAACCTGTTTTGTTAAAATTGCGAAATTACAAAATAAATAATAAAAAAGTCTTTGATTGATAAGGAAGGTTATTTTGAAAAAAAAATCATAATGTGTAAACTCGACCGCTCCAATAACAAACAGAATGAAGTTCGAAGTTCTATTACTTTGCGATTTGCAAATTTTCCTAATCATACACAAGTTGCAAAAGTATAAAATATGAAAACAATACGTTAAATAATTTCATGCGACCGAAGCGCTTTTCTGGATTTACCTTCATTAGGAACGTATAAGTATTATGTTATATGATTTATGAAGAAACAACCGTTAAGATTACGTATATAACATCCTGAAAATCACATTTCCACATTACTGACGGTAAAACGGTCTGAAGAAAAGCAAGTAAGAGACAGTTTAAACAGCTTTATATCGAGTTACTCGTGGTTCGTCTACAGTGTTTTTGTTTTATGTTGTTTGTTTTCAAGTGTGTTAACTGTTTGGTCTTATATGATCTTGCCTTATATTAGAGTTATTTTATTTTTATTTTCTATATTATGTAAAAGTTAAGATAATTAATCAGCTATTTCATTTATATAATTTTTTGTTTAAAGCAACTATATGCACAGAATTTTTTTGTTTATACAAAGTTTTGATTTAGAAGAAAAACCGATATGGTTAGAAAATACAAATAATAACACCATTACAAACATAATTCCATTTTAATATTCTTGTCATGGTTAGAAAATACATAAAATAACACCATTGCAAACTCAATCTTATAGTCTTGTACGTGTCTACAATGAAACAAATCTATTCTTTTTTTAGAAATTTATCTGTGATAATATAAACGTCACAAAAATGCGTCACTTTTTGTGGCGTTGATACATTCCTGAGACGCACAGTTTATAATTCGTTTTTGATGTCCTGGTGTGCTGTCGTGGATTCATGGGAGGTGTCCGTTGTTATTCTGTGGTTTACATTTTGTAATGTACTATTATATTTTTTATTTGTGTGTTTCTCTGTCTCCTGAGTGTTCTTGCGTTTGTTTGTACTGTATTCCTGTACCGTAATGTTGTCGTCATTTTAGCGGTTTTTTCACATTGCCATTAAGCGGGAGGTATGGCTAGCCATAAAACCTGGTTCAACCCACCATTTTTTCTTAAAATGTCCTGCACCAAGTCAGGAATATTGCAGTTATTTTCAAATAGTCCGTTTCTATGTATGTTGGCGTTTGGTTTTTTTTTGCAGTTCAGTGTTTCTGTTGTTCCGTTGTTTTTCTCTTATAGCTGATGTGTTTCCCTCGGATTTGGTTTGTGACCCGAATTTGTTTTCGCTTAATCGATTGATGACCATTGAACAGCGGTATACTACTGTTGCCTTTATCTATATCAAACTTTTTATCGAGTTATCCAACATATTCAACAAAAACCTACCAAAATCCTGTATCTTCCGGGTTTAACATTTAGAAATGTGTAGTCTACCTGAAAAATTCAATTTCTAATTAGATATTTGTGCCTGGAAATACATCATGATACATAATCAAACAAAAACATTTATATTGATTTTCAAAATGTGTTTAAAAATGGAAAATCCGAAACACAAATATGAAATACTACAGTCGTACGGTCATCAAATAGTATAAACTAAAAATAAGGATAATACGAATAGCATCTGATACAAGCCTTTAGCAATGTATACGAAAAGAGAAATTCACTATTTGGAAATGGTAGCTGCGGCTTTTGTCGATGAATTTGTGTTCGACGTCCTCCAGTCTCTTTAGACTGATTTAAGATGAATTGACCGTTTGCTGTTGTCATTAATTCAATCCCTTCTTTTTTTAAAAAGCGATATCAAAAATATCAAGGACATTTGGAATTCAGAAACTACTGATTTTATTAGCTGCAATGAAATTTATAGGAAGCTTATTGATCGGAGAAATTGTATTAAAATGTCAAACTAACTAGGAGGAAATATTTGGAAACAATTTATTTAGAGAAAATTTGTGGTCGGGATTAAAACAACTGATGATTGAAAACAAAGTAAAAGAATTTCAATGGAGATCCATGCACACTATTTTATAAACTGAAGTTAGATTACCCAAAACGAAACTATCAAATGGAAACTGCCATATTTGTCAAAATGACAAAAACATAGAAACCCTGTAACAATTATTTTTTAGTTGTAGTACATCAAAGTTAAATATAAACTAGCTTCAAGAAATCTTGTACAATCAAACACAGGAATAAATCATCCCATTGTTAAAAAGGACATGCTGTTAGGTATAAACACAGGAACATTCAAATATGATAATTTTCTTAACACAATTATTACATATTCTAATTGGACTCTATGGAAAATGAGAAATAAGAAAATCCCACAAAACAACTTTAGCACCTCAAGACATTTATGATATCTGGAAACATAACTTAAAAATAAATCTAAAATTCGCTCTTCAATTAAAAGGCATCGACATCATCGATAAGACAAAATTGAAGTCAGTGATAATGAATATTTTTAGACAATAAATATAATATTAACTTTAGACAATAAATATAATATTAACTTTAGACAAAGTTATCAAAGTTATATTTTTTACGGTTTATTGTTTAAGACTATAGATTTTATAAATATATAGATATATATACAAATGATATAAAAGTGCCTATTATGGTGGTTGTGGTTAATGCACTTCTTTTGTGTGGTATCCTCTTATTTACTTACTATGCTGAAGTTCAAATATAGATTTAGATGCTTCTAACATCATTTAAATATATTGTTTAAATTGTAAAAACTGGACTACTTTTTTAACCTTCTATTGCCCCTGGATAGATGGTTCATTTTGTAAACAGGGGTCCTTAGTCTGTCACCTGGACGACTAAGGTAATTGTATACAGAACATATTTAGGAATAACACGTTTATGTGTGGTCCCAGACCACAATTAATGATCCCGCTTTCCGTTGTCATATATAGTTCCTTTTAATTAAAGTGTATTTTTTCTTAATTTTTTTTCTTTCCCTTCCTCACTCATTTCTTAGTTTTTATTGGATGGAAATGAAAGAAGAGAGGCGAAATAAACTTTTGGATGTTGTATTTTAACTGATTTTGATATAGAAATAGTGATTAGGCCAGGTGCAAAAAGGTGATATTTACAGTTTTCGGAACATCTCTTGACTTGTCCATAGGGGTATGGATGTGTATTGGCTAAATTTGTAAGACACTGGGGAGCAATTTTTCTGAATGTTGGATATCTGTTTGGACTAGTACTGTACTTTACACTCAAAAAATATTTGACAAAAAGAATCGGTGCAATTTTTTTAATGAAACAAAACGTTATAAAGAACTAATAGAGAATTTAATTGTGGTCTGTGGCCGTGTGTGTTGGACTCTGCACCGTGATGGTACTCCGAACCGCGATGGTCACGCTGATGTGCGATGGTTTGACGTTGAAGTTGGCGTTTTTGATCACGCTGAAGTAATATGGTGGCATTGTGACGCTGTCTTGTTGATAGCTACGCTGAAGTGCGATGGTGGTAACGCTCAATTGCGATGGGGGTATCGCTGAAGTACAATGGACTACATAAACTATACTTTCAATGCTTTGCATGTCGATCTCGGAGTCAATTTGTTTGTTAAAACAGTTTTTTGGGGTTTTTAATTTAATAAGGGGCTTATAAACTTTTTAATACTACGGGACACGGATATTGATTGGTGGAGAGGGCGGAAAGTTAACCTTCTGTAGCGGATTTTTTTGGGAATCTACAAAAGGTATTTTTTTTATTTACGATGGAGCGTGGCATTCTCTAAATACGTATGGGTCCGCAAACAAACTCTCCGTATGATGATATTATGTAAACTAAGAATTCATGAGAGGAACCAAATAAAGATAAAATGTTAACGCAGAATTATGTTCACATGCTGAAAATCAGAGAGGACGATCTCTCACTTAGAATGCAACTGTAATTAAAGACACACAAAGACAATAACAAATGCAAATGTATATACTAACTATTAAAAATCTACTTCTAATAGGCCTAGTATTTGAACATCTGTAGATATAAAACAAGCCATCACGCGTAATATAGACCATCGCACATCGGAGAACGAACCATCACACTTCAGCGTCTCCATCGCACCTCCGAGTCCTACATATGTACACAAAAAAATTCAATCCGGGCTTATTTGAATACATGGGATATACATATCTCTTACCTTAATGGTCATTATTAAGCGAAATATACTACATGAATATCCAGTATTTGTACTTCTAATAAAAAGTCTATGATTTTTTTACCTGGGATATCCTGATGTCTTCTATCGTTATTCTATCTTCAAAATCTGTTTCCTCTCCGGACAAGATTTTTTCTAACAAAACATTATATTGTGAAAATTTGTATTCCACAGGAGCGGGAACAAACCAGATCCTTATGTACATATCCTCTATGTTACTAAAGTAAGAAATAGTTGTTATCCAGTCCCTTGGTGCGTCTGTCAAACCTGATGATTATTAGAAAGCAACAAATATCATACACTTCTGCAACGTGTCATTTAGTCAACTGTATAGTGAAATATCCATTTATTTGAGGTAAAATTTCAACACCTAATTATGTTTGTCTTGTAAAAAAATGCATCTACTAAACGAGGGGGTGTGTATAGTTCATTGTCGTCTCTTTTACAATTTGATGACCGTTTTTACAAATTGGTACTAATGTGTCATAAAATTACTACGGACTCGTTAATAGTCTTGACATGTTCCTTTTTTTCTTGTGGAATTTCATAAGAAGCTATTACTTGAATAGAAAGTCTTTACCTATTCAGGAACACGTTTGGTTACTTTAAAATTCATATTACTCATCTTTTTTGTGATCTGTTTCGGTGTTTTTCTATATATTTTGTGGTCGGTCCCTTGCTCTAAATCAAGCATTTCTATTCTCTTAACTAGGTTATTAAAGAATGATGTACCGACATTAACTGACATGTGTTCCTGTGGACTGTTATCTCATGTGGTAGTATTTTAAAAATCCAACCAGATGAGTCGGTCTTACATAAAACAATGATCAAAAAATTTCTCGTATACGTTTTCAACCTAAAGATGGTTCGATGATTAACCCCCAAATTTCAAAATTCAATTAGTCATTCATTTCAGTTTCTTGTATAAGCACAAGGTACAAATTCACCAAAGATACCAGACTTTAAACGAATACAACAATAAACACGCCTTTTCTTTGCTTTTTGTTTTTCAATTTGGGTATTTTGATTTTGAGTGATGAATTAAAATAACATATCCTTTCTTTTCCATTACTCACTAATTTTACGTACCCCATTGCCATTTTCCAGTTCTACCATATCTTATCAGATTTGTATTGTGTTCACTCTCAGGGGGTTTTGGGAGTGTCCATGATGTAATGGAGAAATCTTTATTTCCATTCAAAGGCCATAATTTAATTTCAAATTTCAAATTATTCTGAAAATAAAAAGAATCGAATTAAACATATTTCGGCAGTAAGGGTATTGATGTAAGTGAAAAACATGTTCAACTTGTTAGTTAATGGCCGACATACTAGTAGTTCCTCCGATATATAAGCGAATTATAGCAAAGTTTACATAATTGGACGATATTTCGGATTTTAATGAAATTGTGGATGCATCAGAACTCGTTGAACTGCACATAAATCTCGGAAAAATAATATACATGTGCGTAACGTTTATAATTACAAAGATTCAATCAATTAAAAATTGTGAAATAGGGCTTAAATGGATACAATGTACGTAAAAAGCGGCAACAAATATGCAGCTTTCCCTTTAAAATGCGTTTCCTCTCATCCTACCGGTTTTGTTTATACATTGAGACAATGTATAGTTATCTATATATATACTTACATCTCAATGAACATAGTCTAAGGTAACATTTGTCATTACAGTAACGGAACAACTTTATTTTGAATAACAAACATGTATCTGTCTTTGGCTATTCTTTTTCTCGTTTGTGGTTTATAAACTCTTCAGTTTTTAAGAAGTTTTGGAATTTTTAACATTTTGGACATCAGCATCGCTGAAGAGACATTTATTGTCGAAATGCGCATCTGGTGCAGCACAATTGATATCGTTAATGTTATTACTACCACTTGGTCGATACCTCTGCTGGTGGACTGTTATTTTTTCCTATGATATCACCGGCCAATTAGCCAATACTTCGGCACAGGCATGACAATACGGATATTGTGTTATTATAATTTGCTATTACAATTTTTTTAAATTATTTAAAATCAAGGAATATATCTCCTTAGTGCAAAGCTCTGATTGGGTGCCCGGGTTTAACTATACTTTTTTGTCCTTTGGGATTTATAAGCTCTTCATCTTTTTGTAATAAGTTTTGGATTTTCAAACAATCTTGCCTCGAGCATCACTGGAGGGACATTTATTGTCGAAATGCGCATCTGGTGCAAAAACAAATTGGTACCGTTAATGTTATCAATAGACTATATCTAATACTTCCATCTCTATTAGTGTTGTCGAAGGTAACATTGGTTATTACAATAACAGTAAAGTTTTGCTTTGATTAACAAACATGTTGTCTAAGGTATAATTGGTTATTAGATAACGGTACAATTGTACTTAGATACTTACATCTCTATGAGTGTGGTCTAAGGTAACATTGGTTATTACAATAATGATACATTTTCTCAGATTTTTGTCCAATTCTTCGTAATTTAAGTGGAATCCTCTGATATTTTGTATAAAACCTGAGAACAAAGACAAACAGCGCCAACGTTATTGACTAAAAATGAACTATTGATTATGGAGGGTTATTTTATAAAAGGACAACATATATGTAGGTCTCTAAAGTGCGATGGGGACGCTAAAGTACGATGGTCACGCTTAAGTGCGATGGTTTGCGCTAAAGTGCGATGCATCCACACGCTAAAGTCCGATGGTCCGCGAAAGTATAGACGTAAGAAACGTAGTTGGATTATGACGTTAACAGTCGTTTATACAAACTATAAAAATGAACATGTGGGAAGATAAATTAAAAATATTTGATTAACAACTTTTAAACCAAATGTCCATGACTTAATTAAATAAAACCTAACCGTGCTTTGTCGGCTGAAGCAAATGTGGTGATGGAAGGACTTGTATCCTGCAGTCGACCATTTTTGCTATATAGATACAAAGTAGTATACCCATAAGTATCCGGTATCCCGCTTCTTTTGGAAGCGAACAGATACATTTAAATCATTGTTTACTAATTGCGGTCCCCGTAAAAATACTGTCTATTTTATTGAAAAGTAACGTCGGTAAAATAAAGGTACATGTTTTCAAGCGTAAATTATAAATGTCGGCCAAACATTAGTTTGTACATTGTAGTAAAATATAGCATGTATTTGTACTCGCTACGAAAAATGGGAAAGCTCGGCGAACACCGCCTTTCTCTCGCGTTTAAATTAAAGCTTTTACAAATTAATGTTACTTATACTGTAAGGGGAGGTGTTCACATTAGACCGTGTGTGAACGGCAAGCTACATCAATTATCAAATACGCCCGAATTGTTAAAAATTCATTTACGGGAAATATATTATTTTTGTGACACCTAAATTACCTTTTTTTAGCAATTATTACGTGGTCAATCTTCTAAATTTAAAAACAATCACATAACCTAACGATTAATCATAAAGCCTATCACACTATATGTAATACCTTAGCATACTAGCTTTTGCAAAAAGACTTGTTTTTAACATCCATGTACTTTAATGTTTTAAGCCCTCGAACCGTACCATATTGTTTAATCGCATTTTAGCGTGCTTTACCATCGTACTTTAGCAAACAAGCAACCATCGCACTTTAGCGTGCTATACCATCGCACTTTAGCAAACAAACAACCATCGCACTTTAGCGTAGACCATCGCATTTTAGCGTGACCATCGCACTTTAGAGTACCATCGCACTTTAGAGTCCTACATATATACATCCAAAAAGAAAAAATGAAAAAAGAAGAGAAAGAAAAAAAATAAAGATAAAGAAGAGAATGGAATAAAAGAGCTCTTTTTCCGAAATATCTACGCGAATGATGGTATGTAAGAAATATTTGACACGAAAATAATCTTCATTGTTTTGATTTAAAATTTAAATATAACAGTAGTTAAAAGTTACTGTGTACTCCAAGTCGACTATTTTATAGATGCAACATCGGCCTTATGAGATGTGTTATCGATTACACTTGTCAATTATTTTTATTTGAAATGGTTAAATCGGACTTTTTTTTATCTCACTTGTTTACATAATATACCTGTTCTAGGAGGTTGAACTACTACTAGAAATCCAGGATAGAATCGAGTTGTTCTTAAGTACTCTTCTTGTATTGGTATTAGCTGCAAGTCATGTGGTTTTGCTGCCCAATATTTTTGTCCATATAGAGCTCCATATATAGTTGACAGGACATTGTCACTACAATCTAATACAATCAGAATAAGTGTTTCATTGCTTTAAAAATGAAAGCTAACCGGATATTTTTGATAGTTGCGAAATCCAAACACATGAAACAGACAGGATATACCATTCAATTTAGGAAATTATAATGAATTTCATGTACATTTATTCAGCATCACATTATGCTTAACTCGTAATTTTTCTTAACTTGTATTTGTAGGATTGTTTAGTGAATTGTATCTGATAATATTCATTATTTAGTGTAATTCGTACGTGTTAGGTTTTTTTCAATTTTTAATTTTATTGTGTGTGTTTTTTTTGTGTGTGTGTTTATTGGTCGGTAAACTGTGTCTTAGACAATGGGGGTTTAAAGTGCTTTTTGGTTCTTTTCCTGATGCTAGCAAAATACATATTTATGTATATTGTGACTTATTACGAAGTTTTAATAATAGCTAATTCACTTTCTTCTATAAAAGGTATGTCAACAACATGTATATTTTCTACGTCCGCATTCTGCGAAACAAACCTTACAAAACAAGGTCACTAAACAGAATAATTGAGTGTTTTTACTTCTACTATCTCGAATCAAGTTTCACTAATGCAATTCATTTTATTTAATGGGATTTGTTATTCAGTTAAAGAAAGGAGTCATTTTTTTAAGGAAACTTGAAGCTACTATTGACTGCTTTTGAAAAAAAACTGAATACCTGTCATAACATACAGTTGCTACATATTTTGTATTGTCGTGACATCAGTAGCTAGGAAACATTGCAGAGTTCCCTTTGTGGTTCTTGAAAGCAAATGATTGAAAAATAAGCATGTTTACATGAGCAACACGACTGGTGTCACAGGTGGAGCAGGATTTGCTTAACCTTCCGGAGTACCTGAGATAATCCCCGATATTTGGTGGGGTTGGTGTTGTTCAGTCGTTGGTTTTCTTCGTTGTGATATGTATACTGTTGTTTGTCTTTTCTTCTTTTTTTGCCTTGACGTTGTCAGTTTATTTCTACTTCTTAGTTTGAATGTCCCTTTCGCCTTTCTTTATTAATAAAAAAATAACAACCTTTTCTATGAAAAGGGAAAGTGTTTCATTATTCTCAAATATCAAACACTTACTTTCCTTTTCGTACTTGATGGCTGTGCAATGGAATTTGAGAGCCTAAAATAAATGATGATTCATAAAACAGAAACAAAAGTAAAACACAAATTAATATCAGTAATAGGCAAAAGTTAAAAAATAATTTGTAGATCTGAAGATGTCCTTTATGCTGTTTTTCTAAACTGATTGTTTGGTGCTGAAGCAATGCAAATGACATAAGTGTGTTGTTACTACTGCTTGGTTAAAATATCGACATAACCTAATTCAGAAATTTCTATTGTCAAATATTTTGGATTAAAGAGCATTTTATGCTCCATCTAGATTGAAACGTGTCCATTCAAAAGAGGTATACATCCACATTGGCTTTATGTAGATAGAGACAAAAAATGACACATGAAACAACCAACTAGTTAACTTATATACAAGATTTAGATATAAAGAATTTATAACTTACTGAGTTGTCTTGTTGTGAGTAGCATGTCAGATTGAAGCAACTTGTATATGGTATACACGACAAAAGGAAAAATACATTTAAGTACCACATGTCTTCATTGCAGCTAGTTATTCCGAGTGGCATGTCTTCATTCCATCATGGCATGTGTTAAAACCACAGTAAATTGTAATTCTATACTTCATCATATATTCGACGAAAACAATCTGTATTGTTTGAATTAAAAGTAACTTTAATTTAAAATTCATAAATGTTGACACTATTAAATAAAACTTTCAAATCAAAATGATATATAAGATAACATATCATTGCGTCAGTAAATATTTAAGTGAATAAAAGTAGATCTTAACATCACAAAGTTTGTAACCGAATATTTTTTCACGGGTATCGGGTTTAGGACTTAACCATACACAATAGTAAGTATCTGACCAAGTAAAACAGAGTTAATAGTTAAAACTATTATTGATGCATGAATGATGTTAAAGCAAATGTATGTCAGGAATATCCCGAATTTGATACTTGTTCACATAAAAAACTTTGGTTAATGGAGGTTTTATTAACTTGTGCATGGCTTTATAAATATGTTGAGCGTTATTTAGATTCTTTCCTATTATGTTTCTAAAACATCACATTTCATTTAAAACAAAACATAATAATCAGAATTTTGAATTGAACAACTCAACTATTCAAGATCCATTAGTACAGAAGTTTCTAAAAAATAATCACCAGAAGCATAAATCTTTAGTTTGATATACTTAGAAAAAACTCTGTTTTAAATCAAAGACTTGCTAGATCCACTATTTTATATACGACACCAAGGACCATTTCGTACTAGAAATGTCCAGTTTGTACTAGCTGGGTGGGACCTATAACAGACCTTTCCTTATTTGTAAAATTGTGCGCAAACATGCTTGAGTAGTGTATATTTTGTCAATGTATAATTCTCAAGAGGAGGCAAGAGTAGTTGACCAATGTTGCATTGGGCCGAGTGTGATTTTTTATTCTTAATGTGATTTCTGCTGCGAATACAGAATTTAACATACAAAATGATTTGCATCAAAGCAAACGACCAGCATTCTCTCCGAGTACTTTTGTTAATCTTACATAAAGCATTTTTTGTATACTCAAAGGGACATAGACTCACATACAGATGGTGACTTGAATCATTTGAAAAACGTTGGGACTTGTTTCATTTGAAATGCGTACACGTATACGTATTCTAGGAATAATTTATATTACATGCTTAAAATTTAAAAAAACCAGGTATAGAAAAATTCAGAATTGTCTGAATTCTATTTGTTCATTTGGTGATTACTTAGTCTTACTTTTTTTTTTCTCCTAAAGTAAACACACTTAATAAAAAGCAAACTTCATGACACACAAAAAGAAACAACTCGTGATCAAATCGTCAGAAAATGACACTTGTTCATTATAAAATTCGAAACAAATAAAAATTCAAAATATGACAATTCTGCTTCTAGTGGTACCAAGTTAATAAATAAACTCATCATGGATACCAGGATTGAAATTTTGTATTTGCGCCAGACGCGCTTTTCGTCTACAAAAGACTCATCAGTGACGCTCAAAAATAAAAAAGTTTAAAAAAGGCCAAATAAAGTACGAAGATGAAGAGCATTGAGGACCAAAAATTCCTAAAATCCAACCAAAAATAAACTAAAAAAAAATTCTTGAAGGAACAGTGTTTTTTTTTTTTTTATGAAATGTATCGCGAAAAGTCGCATATGACTCATACTTATGTCCATCTTAATCGATTAATACTAGCTATTTGTTTACGCATGTTCCATATTCTTTGAAATTATACAATGTTCTACTTTGAATATCTTTATTAATATATTTTTTTTAATATTATCGGTTTTTATTTGCAAAATAATCGTTTTGCTATTGTTTGATTAACTGATATAAAATCAAACTGCATACGTCGAGCGATCGCAAAATGGCTATATCGCCACGACAAGTATTACGTAGAATTTATAATAACACACAAAGTCCACAATGTTAAAACTATTGTTCATGACCAATATTACTTATACATATGTATCTCTGGTGAGTTTTTACATACAAATAAAGACTAGATACTAAAATTAAATGCTTACATAAAATTCTAAATCATTTAAAACAAAATAGATATTAGACGTTCGAATTGTTTATATACACGATTTTTATTTATCAATTTGTCATATAGTCATGACAACTATAGTGCAGTTAATGATATCACTAGCCTAAAATACTGAGGAAGAAGATTTTCGTACAAAAACCCTTATTCAGATTAGAACGAGTTGAAAGATCTTAAAAAATGAAGTATTGTAAGTCTAATAAAAGGAAATAACAAATTAAGAAAAAATGGACAAACACTATTTTGTTTGTATAACATAATGATAATGATAAAATACAGCGAAGGAAAATATATATAAAGTAATCACAGATTGGCAAAAATACGATACTGTCTCATGGTTGTCATTATGTTGATAATGTATTCCATATCGTAATAATGCTAAATATAGCCAAACCTTTTAATACCGTCTATAACTATCAACCAATTATTGCTCATCATAACGCTTTTTGATTAACTAAGACTCGATATATCATTGTTATCATTTTCAGGTAGGAACTCTCTATCAAAATCATGGACCTGCTTCATTAGGTTACTAAGACTGAAATTACGGTTCAGTGTCGTAGCCGATATTATAGATGTTTCATCACTTTAAATATGTGGATCTATCATCTTTACTTAAGATTAAGATAATAATTGAATTATTTATTGTGTCCTTAGCTAGTTGATCTGGAAAAAAAAAAACAAAAGAAAACATGTATAAATTCAAAGCTGAAAATATTCGTCGTCATTAAGAACTCCAGAGAGGTGTAAGCTTTTGATCAAGACTGAACGTCCAATCAAGAATGTAATATTGAGATAATGAAAAGCATTAACACGATATTTCCATTGCTTTTCGTGTAGGGATTTTGTGCAATGAATTGATAAACCATATCACTCTCTTTTTACATTCCATACGCGACAACAGTATAAAGCACTAGACCAAGTTGTGTAAGAGTTGTTCTAAGTACCGTTATAAAACACTTGTTGAAAATTATAACCAAGCAGCAAATGTTTTTGGTTTATTACAATCAGGGATCGAACACACCTTTCGCACTCTATGGGAGCCCTCAAACACAAGACAACCTAATATTTGGGTTCAATAACGGTACATGTTCTGTATCTCAGTATCGACTGACTCAGTCTTTGTTAAATTGGCACTTTTCAAAAAATTGTGCAGAATTTATTTTTGTTTCAAATAAAAAAATACTTGGCAAGAGTAAAGTTTTATCCTGTCCAGTACTACAGACAAAATGTCACAAAACATGTAATTGCATATAAGATAATAACCATCACTGGGAAGTTAACCAATCAAATGTTCACCCTTTCCTTACTGTTTACAAGCTTATGTAACCATGTAACCTCAAGTGTCCAAAATATTTTATAGAAACACCAAATAAAAAAATAATTGTGCTTTGAAACATCCAAGATACATGTTTATGACTCAAGATTTTTTTTTCTGCAATTAAATGCAGGGTTAACTTCGTACAACTGTCTAATCAAAGGGAATATTTTTTCGACCTTTAATAGTATGAAACCGGATTTTGTAGTATTACACCTATTACTACTACAAGCAAAAAATGCAAAAAAAAAAAATAAGAACGCTCTGTAAAACATGGTCATTTGTGTGGTCAGTTTCAACCGCTGTGTGTTGTGATTTTGAAGTTTTTACTGTTGATGACTGTTTTTGAGATGTTATCACTACATCTTTACCTAAATATAAGATCATTAGATTTAGAATACATCTAGTGAGATAAATATGATAAAGTTATATCTGTCTCAAATGTGCAGTTTTTCATATAAAAAAAAACAGCGTTTGAAAACATTTATAAATGTTGACCAATTGTAGCAACAATAGTATCAATTATAATATAACTAGAATTAGGCAAAGTAGACCTTAGATGCAATTGGTTATCATTTTTAGGTTCATTTTGGTCATAAAGCTTTTCAAATGTTTCGGATCTTAAATATCCTAGGCTTTCAAATATTCGGTTTTGAGCGTTCCTGATGAAGGTAAATCCAGAAAAGCGCTTCCGTCGCATGAAATTGATAATGTTAATATTGAACACACATCTAGTGAAAAGGGTAATGTGATTAAATGAAATAAAACAAGTAGAAGTTTTATCATTTGGTAAAACTGGTCTACTGTATGTTTTCAGTATTGGTATCAATCGCGGAACATTCAGAAAAACAAAATAACATAGATTTCTAGGCATAATTTTCTTCTTCTATCTTATATATAAAAAAAAATGTGTGAACGTTAAATATAAGTTTTTTGATTTTATCATTTTCAGCGATTTTTTAGATTACTGCTTTTCTCATCTTTATGTTGTTTCGTAGAGTAATTGTATAGTGGAAACATTCCTATTCTATACAATGGTTCCTACAATTGGTCAAATGTATCTTCAATTTCAGGTGTTTAAAAAGATTACAACTGTAAAATTCAAAATTTCTAATAAAACTCGGTATAACCCATAAAGTTATCCATATATTTTTTTAAATTCAAAATTAAAAGTTTTCTTTTTTAAAAGACTTTATTTGGAATTTACATACAAATTACAAGTTTTCTGAAAATATTCATCTGGTTGGATGCTTTCGTTTTTTAAAAGAACAGTTATGGAAATGTATAAATAGAGACAACAGTATATTTAATTGTTTTTAATGATGTCACGACGATATTCAAAATGGCTTAACAAAATAGGTGGATATAATTAGATAATAGTGTCAAGGAAAAGCATGTTCAAACATAAATAGGTACTCCATATCATAGAAAAATATCTAGTAACTCATCACAGGGTTATCCAAACTAACGCTGTAATCTGAATAAAATGTAAAACAGCAGTTGTGCAATAAAGTTTAGTTTAATTGTTAAAAAAAAGGAAAATATCTAACGAACTGTATACATTGATAAGGTATACACGGGCAATAAACAATGAACATTTGGGAAATAAGTGCGACATGAACATGGGTCGCAATTCCGAACGTTTTGAAATAGGAAAAATTCGTAGCACTATGGTCCACAAATCAACAATATCATAAGGACAGACGAGCTACGGTTTCGCAGCTAGGGTAGGACTACGCTTTCACTTTGCTTAGGTCGAAATATTTTTGAACATTCTGTAATTGTAGCCGGTCTGGGGAAACTCTCTGGTATTTTAGGTGTGGACTTCCTTTGTAAGAACAGAGTGTCTATTGACACTGCAGAAGGGATGTTAAGGTCACCAAACTTTGAGGTCAAATTTAAACGCCAGTCGGCGTTTCATAATGTCTGTGCTAGGGTCCAACATTTTTGTCGAATGAGTAATAAGGGGGATTTTTAATAGAAAACAAGAATGTTGCTTAGAACCTTTAGCTGACTTCAAGGGCGATAATCATTGTCAAAATCAAAAGTAGTATTTTCAATTTTGAATCCTAACTAGGATCCGAGAATTCTTAAAAAGAACGTGCAAGTAGGGTCTGTACAACCAATTAATCAAGTTGTAAGCTGCAATTCGGAATCCAGCAGTCATATAAAAGAGAACATTAACTTGTTAGAAAATACATTACCAGAGCATTTACAACCGTTAGTTGAGTGATGTACCGGGAAATTATCGACCGAGGAACGGAAACGCTTAGAGAGCGTAATTTATCAATACCCTGATATTTTTGTTGGACCGAATGAAATATTGGGACACCCCGATCTTGTCAGATACCAAATCGACCCCGGATATAATAATCCGATAAAATAACCTTTATGGCGATTATATATTATGCAACGAGACGTAGCCGAAGCGGGAATAAATCAAATGCCAAAAACAGGGCGTTATTGAACCAAGTCACTCTCCGTAGGCCATTAATATTGTCTTGGTGAAGACGTCTGAAGGCTCTACTCGAAGAAGAACGTGTACCCATTACCCAGTGTCGATTTTTTGTTTTGTTTGCAGCTAAGTATCAGATTATTTTGTTAACAGTAAATAAAATCAAACTTAATATTATTTTTATATACATATGCACATTCATGGCTCTACAATCTGTCGATACCTGTATCTTGGCATTGCACAAGGTCATGTTTTTCTCTGACTGTTTATTACGTCTTTACACTAGATCCATTGGATGTTGGATGTGTACTGATTGATATGTTAGCCTAAGATGCATGCTTTTTTTATTAGTTGTTATTGGATTTGAACTAGGTGTCAGTAACTGCGAGTACTCTCAGATCTTTACTTAGTGTCTTTTCGTTGTGGTCAATGGAGAATGCATCAATTGGAACCGAGTTGGGGGTTCGTCTGGCTGCTGATATTAAACAGGAAGCTGTAACCACATTCTTGCAATATTTGTATGAGGGATGTACGTTACTTACTGAAAAAATGGGAAACATGTAGAAAAAGTAGCAAAGATTCTTCAAGTAGACAGTGTGATTAAATGCTGCTCAGACTTCTTCAAGTGTCTTGAAAATAATCCACAGGAAAACAACACAATGCAATTACAAATTTGACAAATATGACTTTGCTTGAATTCCGTCATGTGCGAGCACTTTGCTTACAAAAAAACTTACCATGAATGACTGATGAAAAGGATGTCAGAAGCTCCGGGCCCAACTTGTCGCACAGGAGGGAAACGTCAAAGGTTACATCTTCGTCCTTCCTCCCCACCAACTGATTTCATGTCTCAAAGAGCTGATGATGACACAAAGTTATATGACAGGAACTCCTTCTTGAGTAGGAAGTGTACGATCAGGTGCTTAAAGTCAGTCAATCAGGTCAGGTTCATCGTCAGTTGTAGAAATAAAAGAGGACAGTGGAATTAATTCAAAGAGAAAAGCCTGGCCATGGGCAACCAGAACCATCAAGATTAGTCCAGCAAAAGACATAAATTTCTGTAGCATCACACATTTCAAAACCTAAAGCCACTCGTGCGATAAATATTGCGGATGACAGTGGTAGAGGAAGGACCGAGAAACAGGCTCATTTAGTGATCGTGTTCAAAATATTCCAAGTTCATCAAGACCAACACCGGCCTTTCTTACCGTAAGAAGACCGGTAGGACCGGTTATCTCATAGCCAATTACGGCCAATACGGCAGTGTAGAAGCTATCTCTAAACCAGTGTGTGTTAGATATAAATGAATAATTAAGTTAAAACCAGTTACAATATATTTTACATCAAATGAGTTAAAAAAAATATTTTCATTCTAAAAAAGTTACCGTAGGTGTTAAATGGAGTAAAATATTTATCGTTATCTTTAATTTGAGCAAATTTTGTTGTCAGTCGTTATTGTGGTTCCCCCAATTCCATGCTCGTTACAATATAAAAATAAACTGCATTCATGAAATATCATTTCCAGTTATGATAGACTTTCAAAAGCATTTAGATACTTATGTTCATTTTTGGAAAGGTATTATATCACTTTCCGTCTTATAACTTCTATAGTGCGATTTGTATTGAAAACAAACAAGATATGTCTTTTTGAAACATATTGCTCCACATTTGTTTATATGGGACTACAGGGGCGGTGGTAGAGATAACTTTTCACTTTTAATCCGGGTTGTGGTAGTCGTTGGGATATCTTATACAATATATGTTTTTTTTAAGAAAAATTGTTGTGTAAATAATCATTTGTCATTATGTTGTTATATAAGAACTAAAATTAAAATGATAATATTTCATTTTACAAGTATAACTTTTCCTTAATACGTAATTATATCAACCCATTCATTCAGTCCGTTCAACAAATTTCTAGTACATAAAGCTCCTCCAAGTTTTTCTGGTTTTAAGAACAAACAGTTAATAGATAATTGATTAATAGATGTTTTTTTTTCATTTGCTAGCTCACAAAGTAACAGTGAACATACAGGAAGACGTAATATGCGACAAAAACGACTATTCTGAATCAGTCTCAATTTATCTTTGCTCCTACTCCAAAACACACTTAGATGTTTAAGTATACTAGAGTTCTTGTATGTGGAATATTATCGCTATTGTTAAAAGAGAGGCGAAAGATACCAATAAATAATGATGGCACATTTCTCAACAGGCCAATATAACTGCTCATACAGATCCCAATACTGTATAGAATAAAATGAGTCGCTACAGTCAAAAAACAGAGTCGCGATTACATTAATTAAATTTTGGAACAAAAATGTATATAATTTTGAAATTAACAGAAAAATATAATTACAGAAGTTGCAAATTGCCATTACATATTGACTTCGAAACTGAGTTTTATCGATATTGATATATAAATTGAGTTTTATTGGAAGACGAAAGTCAAGTAATCTTCCCACAGGTACCTACATCGAATTCTTTTTTCAGTACTATCAGGCCAAAAAAAAACAACGATAAAGGTAAAACAGACTTAATACATACAATGAACGTGCAACTTCATGAAATTAGATTTGTTATTAATTCGCATGAGAATGGTATTTATCCCAAAAAGATGTATATTAACAAAGATCCAGAATTATTTATGCTTGGAAAAGGAAAAAAAAACAATGACAGGCGCAAAAATTATTGTTAATCTCGCAACCACCACAAACACCTTGTAATAGGGAACTTGAATATTTATATAGATAAGAATTCTACCATTTTTTGTAATTGTCAGATGAAGTCCTATTAACAGAATTCTTACAACCACCGTTCATTTTCTATTTGCATTTGAACGGGTGAATATAGCCTTCATTCAATACAAAAGTGGCATATTTTAATTCAAAAAGTAAAGAGTTTGTGCACTCACAAAAAAATGTGAATTTGTTGAGAAAAAATATATCAACTCTAGATCCATCATTGGATGGTTTTCTTTAATCAATTAAGGATAGGCTTTGTGTGTATTATCATGGCCCATCTTAACACACATATTGATCTGTAACAACATCAGTATTACTTCCGTCCATCCAGAAACAGAACTTTTCAACAATCCAAATCACCAAAAATCTGAACAAAAGAGGACAAGGAAATTCAAAGTTAGTTCGTTAACTGGTACAGCTAGTATTTAAACTGTTACTTCGAAATATTCTAGTCTAGTATCCATCTTTGTATATTCTTATGTAGAACTTTTTCTGATTACTGTATTTTTGATAACCCTTATGGTCTATAGCTAGAAGATATCTAGTGCTTTCAGCTCAGGATAGACTTCACAAAGACCTTTAGTGTAAACAATATTTTATTATGAATTTAAATACATCTTATACAATATAAATTCACAGTGTGGCAAATAGGAATCAGAAACAAGAAACAAATGCTTATCTTAACCCGATCAGTCTCCAGGATGACTTGAATACAATATACAATAATTAATCAAAACTACATACTCGGTTAGATAATAACACTATTGAAAATGCCAGTAAAGTTTCGTGATGAACTGAAGAAGAGAAAAAGAAAAATGTAACTATTAAGATAAAATGGCAACAGGTATATTGTGTGAATTATTAGTTTTAAACCTTTATTCATATAACAGTGAAGAACTTGAGAGTTTAGTCCCCCTGTAACTATACGAGCAGCTTTTTGGATGTTTTCGAGTCTATTCATTAAAGTTTGATTTCCTGAATCCAAGATAACATCAATATACTCAATGATATGTCTAATAAAAGATATGTATATTTTTTCCAAAGTCATTCTATCTAAAGTGTTTTTTTTTTACTCTCCTTAAAATGATATGTCTTTTGTAAGATTTCTCTACATTAGAATCAACATGTACATTAAATGAACCATTATCCGAAAAATAAACTCCAAATGCTTGTGTTTCTCGGCTAATTGCAATTCTTTGTAATATATCTTTAAAGGTTGACCATAAGGTTTTGCAATTTTTCGGGACATTATCATGGTCTTTGGGTTGAATTTGACAAGCCATTTTTTAGACCATTGTCAATTTTATTCAAATCGCTATTCAAAAATTCAGCAGCTTAATCTGGATTATGAACAGTTAAGTATAGACTTGAAAATTCAGCAAAAAGCTTTTTTTGGGCTTGAATATCAGTGACTATGTCATTAATTAATATATACCAAACAACGAAGTGAAACTTATAATTATTATATTGCCCCTTTTATTCTCCAATATTTTTTTCAAAAAGTATGAAAAAGCTTTATTTAGGCTTTAAGAATAAACATGGCTTTAAAAGTCACAAGAAGATATGGGGTTTTCTCATTGTTGAAGGACTTACAGTGACCAACAGTTATTAACGTCTATGTCATTTGGTCTCTGATGGAGAGTTGTCTCATTGACAATCATACCACATCTTCTTATTGCTATATCAAAACTTTTTACACAAGAAATATAATCAACATCTTATAAGGCCTTCAACAATGAGCAAAATCCTTATATCGCAGCTGTATAAGGCCCCGATATATATATATATATATCGGGGCCTTATACAGCTGAATAATACGTTTTATATATATATATATATATATATATATATATATATATATATATATATATAGTTGGTTTTGTTGAAACTTTTGTGTTTGACTCGCCTGGAAATCTCCAAGGTTGTCATCCCCTTTCGTTGTAAAATTGTTAAACGCTTAAGAAGAGGGATACGATCAGGAGGAAGAGCAGTAAAATGCAAAACATATATTAGAAAGGAAGTAAAAAAGATACAAAGGTCAACATTTTAAATTTGATCGAAATTGGAAAAACAAATCCATGGACTCTCTAACATAGTTTATTTGTGTTTTTTGTTATATCAAACCATTTATGAATAAAGCTGATTCAGAATTAATATCTGCAAAACTTCAAAATGAAGTTCTGCAGTTTAGATTTCAAGGACAAATATTGATCTGTGGGGAGTTTAATGCAAGATCAGACAGTATTAAATCGAAAATAATTATGGCAATGAAACCTTTAATGACTGTCCTGTCCCTATAAGTTACTCCCCTGATATTCACGTAATAAAACGTCAATAGGATAAAGGAATAATCCTACATAGCAACCTTTTTATATTATTTTGAAAAGATATACAGGTAATCAATGGGGACATTCCATGGCAGACAATTATCATGATGCTCTATGGAAAAAGAGTTAGTAAAAATATAGTAATAACAATGAACAGGATCGATGATGAAAATTGTAATGATATTGATGTATTAATTTCTTTTTAAAAAATAATGATTTTTTTGTGTTCAAACTACAGTGCATACCTGAATTGTATCAAGACATAAGTAAATGAAATATATATCATTGTTATTATGGGACTAAGAAATAATAAGGATTTGATGTGAATATACAGTACTATACTATACATTTCCTTATTTTTATCATAATACTTTTGAGTATGTAAATTCCATAATGTACCCCCCCCCCCCCCCCCCCCTCCCCCATCTGTCGACAAATGATTTGTGTTTGTCTTTACAAAGATATAAATAGTTAAATGCATTTATAAAACTTCTACGTTCTTTAGATATTAATTAGAAGGTGATTATCGTGTTGGTTGCAAAAGTAGCTAATATCTTCTTTTCATGGATTAAAACTATTGATATGACTGAGAAATTCATCAAAATGCTTTACTAACAGATACTGCTTTTTGTTGGAAAGATCAAAGGGAACATGTATATTTTGACGATGTCCAAACTGAACAAAAACTGAACAAGAATGATCCTTTTTGAAATTTCAGAATGGCTAATTGAACTTTTTAATGCAGTTTCAAGACATTCCATAAATAAACTGTCAAAGTTATGTCTATATCCAGACCCTACCAAACGTGTATACTGATTTACTGAACACCGTGAACACACAAATACCATATTATCTGATTTATTCACGACATTGTCAATCCAAAATGTTTTATTCTTAGTCTGTGACCAAGAAAATATAAAATATTGAGATTGCAAGATTCTTGCAGGAACATAACAAAAGACTTGACCAATGTGTTATGTAGGTCGTCTTTATCTGTCGCTACAATAACTACTGTCCTTGACCTCCATTTAATTCTGAATAAATGTAATTATTAGTTTACATCAATTAAGTAAACATAAACTTTTTTATACTAACATTACAAGCGTGATGAAAAATACAAGGCGATTAAGCCCTTCCGATAATATCGAATCTTCTTTTCTGTTGAAGATTGCATATTAAACTCTCAATGTCTTTTTGTTATTATTTTTGAATTTGTGTGTTATTAACATATATTCACATCTCAGTTTACGATAATAAACACAAATTAAACGCCTTTTGGCAAACTAAATGAAAAATTGAGTGAATATTTTACACTTAATTCAACAACGTACTATACGTAACCATGGTTTATAAAAAAAACCTAAAAAAAAAAAATGGCAAGGTTTTTCGTACCTTTAACGTCTGTAACTGTTTTCTGTAGCTGAAAAATAATTGTTATGAGTTGTAAAGCACGAATCAATAACATATTCTACATTTAAACTATTCAATATAATAATGTGTTCATTATATTTATCACACAAGGTAAATAAGGCATAAGGCTCATCAGGTATATTCAACGTTATTGTGTTGTTTGAAAAAAAGATCTCATATTAAACATCAGCAGTACAGTTAGGAGCAACTACAAAATGCAGTTACGCTTGAGAAATCATAAAGTTCAGTTACGAGCAGCATATAAGTCACGAATTGATCATTCATAAATATAACACAAATTTTCGCTATGTGGATATTTCTGCATTGCAAATCTTGGAATCATGAACATTAATAAAACAAATAGCTAATTAGTCGTTTCTTTAATCACCATTTCCCGTCTTTTCAATGTTAAGATGATGGTAAATTAAGTTATGCGCATCAATTTGCCCTCGCAATCGTTTTTTACGCACCGCTAGTCGTTGAAAACGGCATAACAGAACTCAACCAAACATGCATAGAGTCTACAACAGGACATGAAGTAAGGAACCTGCTATTTTTTTTTTATTTAAGTGACCTTGAAGATAATCATACCAAAAAATTGGACTTAAGCAGCATTAATGCTAAAAAATATTTAGAGATGGAATCCTCACAGGTTTTCAATAACCAAAGATGCACATCGATTTACATATTTAAACGACGTTTTCTAATGCACTATCATTTCAATTAATCTGTAGCCCGTATGATCCGAAAATACGAAAATCAATGGTTGCAATAAAGTTTTTATTAAATTTTTCCCCAAAAGTACGAAAGTCGAAGCAACTTAACGAGCTCAGATGAATTTGGTTATTTTTTTAAGTTATCTTTTGGTCATATAGCTCCTAACGTTCCTTGTAATTGTACATCCCTGCATTTCAAATATTTAAGTTTGAGTTTTCCTGAAAAGCGCTTCGGACGCACGAAATTTATAAAGTGTTAATATCATTTGCAAACAGCGTATAACAAGTGTTGTAATTTTTTTTAGCTTTACATGCTTTTCTACCTCAGGAATAGATTACCTCAGCTGTATTTGGCAAAACTTTTAGGAATTTTTGGTCCTTAATGCTCTTCAACTTCGTACTTTTTTTGGCCTTTTTAATATTTTTTTTATTCGAGCGTCACTGATGAGTCTTTTGTAGACGAAACACGCGTCTAGCGTAAATATAAAATTTCAATCCTGGTATCTATGATGAGTTTATTTATAACAAACTTTTTATTAGATGCTAAAAGATATACAAACCCAACTTTGAATGCAAGATGAAAACCACAACTACTTAAGAATAGAGGTGTACCAA